TTTTCGCTCTATTTTTACTTGGGTGTGGTTTGAATTCGTTTCTCGGTTTTTCTCGGGTTGTTCGGATCATTCATTATTATTATTACTTTTTTTTTTTTTTTTTTTTTGAATTTTATCATTATTATTATTATTATTTTAAATTTTTATTTATTTATTTTTCCGTCGTAATATTTATTATTATTATTATTATTATTATTGGTTGTTGTTGTTCGAGTAATGTAAGTTCGGTTTGAAAATACGCGCACACAAACACACACGACACACTCGTGTAATATTGGACTACCGTAATAATAATAATAATAATATAATCACATCATTATTATTATTATTATTATTATTTAATTTTTAATTTTTTTCGATTGTTTGTTTGTTTGTTTGTTCGCGAATTTTTTCGTTTTTTTTTTTTAATATTAATTATTATTATTATTATTATTATTATTATGTGTGATGTGTTTTACACTTTTGTTAATCATGTCGTAAGTATTCAAAGACAAATAAATCATGATGTGGTGTGTGTGTGTGTGTTTGTGCGCGTTCGACAAAATTCCCAACATGCGAAAATCATTTCTTTATATTAAATAATAATAATAATAATAATAATAATAATAATAATGATAATAATAGTAATAATAATAAGTAAAATAAAATAAAATAAAAATAAAAAATAAAAACTTTTCTTACGTTACTGTCGCCATTATTGTTTTTTATTATTATTATTTCAACTTTTATTATTATTATTATTATCATTATTATTATTATTGTTTTTTTTCTACACGTTTTTAAATTTTTGTCTCTCTCGCGTTTAGAAAAAAAAATGAAAAAAAAAAAAAAATTAAAATAATACGATACTAACCGAAACTGCGAATTAATAATAATAATAATAATCGTAATATTAATAATAGTTAATAATAATAATAATAAAACAAAAAATAGACAAAAAAAAATTTTTTTTTTTTTTTCTGTTCGTTTGTTCGTTTGTTCGTTCGTTCGTCGAACGGAATCGAATTTCGAAACGAAAATGTCGTCGACGGCGTTCTTTCTCACAACGTTTGTGTGTATGTGTGTGTGTGTACACTCTTACTCCTTATATTATTGATTTTTTTTTTTTGTATAGACGAATCAGTGCCGTATGTTATTATTTTTATATATATATACATATATACGATTCGCACGCGTTTATTATTATTATTATTATTATTAATTAAAAACGTATTCATTCCTACATTCATTCATTCATTCATTCATTTTTAAGTAGCGTTAATAAATTGGGTCGATTGCTTGTGGCTTAAATAATAATAATAATAATAATAAATATATTATATGTATGATAGACTAACGAAAAGGAGACGAATATGCATAAATTATCATCATCATCATTATTATTATTATTCTCTTTTATTGTTTTACGGGAGAACCAACCTAAAATGGTTCAAGGTCGTTTTAACGGTTCCTTCGCAAGCCATATTTAGTTTTAAATCTCTTACATCGTAATAAAAATAATAATAAACGTCGTCGTCGTTTTTTTTTTTTTTTTTTTTATATTTACATTTTATTATTATTATTATTTATTACCAATAACGATTATTATTATTATTATTATTATTATTAAGTAAAACAAGTGTTGCCAACGTTAAAAGGGAAAAGGAAATTTATTTATTTATTTTTATTAAGCACGACTGCTAAAAAATGTGATTTTTTGGTTTAATGGTGGATACATTTTTTCTTCTGCTCTTTATTATTATTATTAATATTATTATTATTATTATTATTATTAATATTTAAATTCACGTTAACAAAGATTGTTGTTGGTGTATTTTTAAAACGCTTCGGGTTTTTTTTTTTTTTATTAATAACAAACAAACAAACAAACAAAAAGAAAAGGAAAGTTGTGAAAAAAAACTTTTGCTTTTTTTTTTTTATTAAACAACAAACAACGTTTGTTTGTTTGTTCTGTTGTTGTTGCATTCCTCTTCTTCTATTATTATTATTATTATTTTCATGCTTTTTTTCCCGTTGTTGTTTGTTCCATATGAAATGCACTCATTAATTAATTTAATTTTTTATTTTCCCCTCCCCTCGGATTCCCTCCCCCCTTTCGTGGTTTTTTTTCTCTCTCTGAATTTAAACAAACTGGGCTCGTGTTTGTCGTCGTGAGTCGAACAAACAAACAAACATGGTTGTTGCATCTGTCGTTTTTATTTATATTTACGAAAAGTCGAGAGAGAGAGAGAAATAATAATAATCGAACGCGACAACAACACGATTTTAACACCTGGCTCCGCCATTGCGTTATATATATATTGGCACACAATAATGAAAAACGTTCGCGAACGTTTTCGTTTTTTTTTTCTTTTTTGAAAGAGAGAGAGTGAGAGAGAAAAAAAGTAAAGATTGATTGCGACAAGCAATATGTTTTTAATTATTTTCATATTATTATAATAAAAAAAAACGCCTCCTCGTTTATTTTATGTAAAAAAAAAAAAAACTTAATTAAATAATAAAAGGCATGGTTCCATGATCGTGATGACGTATTTACGGGACTATTCGTTATCGACAGGAAAAAAGACGACGACGACGACGACGATGTTGGATGACGTTTCGAGACAGTTTTATTTGTAAACACATCATCCTTTTCTCGCATAATGATCATATATATATGTGAGAGAAAGAGAGAGAGAATGTTTGTTCGTTTGTTCGTTTTGATTTGAGATTCGATTCGTTCAAATTCGTTAAGTAAAAATAAAATAAGAACGAAGACTTTTGCGTCGTGGCAGAAAAAAAAAAATTTTTTTTTTTTTGGTTTTTGTATTGTATACGTATAAACTCCCCCCCCCCCCATCACTCCACCGCCCTCTCGAACGTTTTACATATACGCACGTCGTCGTGTCGCAATAATTTGTTTCTTTTTTAAACAGTGACATCTTTCGGATGTAATTTGAATTAACAAAATTCCCTTCCTGTCGGATTAATTATAAATAATTTTTTTTTATTTGTGGGTGCGTGCGTGCGTGCGTACGAGAACGCATTCGAACGAGTGGGTCAAATCGAAAACGGTTTTTGTTTAAAAATAATAATAATAATAATGATAATAATGATGATGATGATGATTCTAAAAGTAATTTTTATATAACGTTTCTCTCTCTCTTTCTATCTCTTTCTGTCTCCCCTATTTTTTAGACGAAGGCCTTTAATCCTTACGTTTGGGGATTAATGAAGAAGGTTGTGGTTCTGTTTTTACAATCATAATTAAAATATATATTTTATTTGAATGAATGTTTCAAACGTTAAAAACATGCTTAATCGAATTTCAATCCGGATGATTAAAACGACCAAAAAGAGCTAAACGAATGTTTCCGTTGATATCGAGATAAGACGCGAACGCGTCGACTGCTAGAGAGATTTTTAAAAAAAAAAAAAATTTTTTTTAAATCTAAAAATTAAAACCGTTCGATATTTCGTGTGTGCGTGAGAGAGAAAGAGAGAAAACGTTCGGTTCGTTAACTGTTGAGTATCGTGGCGGCGGCCATTTTGATTTTAAAAAATGAATATATACTCGTGAACGATTGTTCGGCCATTTTTTTTAATTTTTACTCTCTCATACGATGTTTAAATATAAAAAAAAATAAAAGCAGACGATGTCATAGAGTAAATAATAAATATTTTAAAAATTTTTAAAAAAAGAGAGAGAGAAGAAAATTTTTTTTTTTTTTCTTTTGGTTTGAAGGGCATTTCGAGGATGTTATTTGCACACCGCGTTACAAATATAGCTCGGTCAAAAGCCAAAACGAACATTTTTTTTTTTAACGATCTCCTTGTTCCCTTAAACTAACTCTATCTATCTCTTTCTCACTCTTCCCTTTAATTTATTTACCCGTTTCCATCTCTTTCTCTCACGTTTTTGTTGTGATGCAAATCCACGTACGTCGCCCCACGGGATTTGTTTGGAACGATACCAGGTTATTATTTAACGGAGCAAATCGAGAACAACATGACTGACTGACTGGGTTGTTTGGTCGGTTGGCAGGGTTGTCATTATTTAAGGGTTGATGACTGTAAACGTAAAATAATAATAATAATAAGGAGGGAAAATCAATGGAAACGTATTTCGAGTTGAATATTTTATGGTCGGATAATTTATCGAGTGTCAACAAAATGGCCGAAAAGAAAAAATATTGTTGTTTGAATCCTCTATTATTATTATTATTATTTGCGAGACCGTTCCCCCTTCCTCCCCCTCCTCCCGCGAATATTTTTTATTAATGATTAAATTTAAAAAAATTTTTTAATTTGTTGCGCAGTTAATTTTTTTTTTTTTGTTTAAATAATCGTCGATCCATGATATCATCATCATCATCATCATCTCGTTTTATTTTTTTATCATTTTTCGTTGTTTTCAAACAAACACAAACGTTATGTCTCTCTCTCTCTCTCTCTCACACACATTTTTTTTCCCCCCCTCGTGAAAATTTGTACGGCTTACGGGAAAAACAAAAAAAAAAAAAAAAAAATTTTTCGACGAATGAGTGAATTGGCTTTGCTACGCATAAACCATTTGATCGGAAATCGATTGGAAAAGTTTTTTATTTGTGTCACCGGTTTGTGTTTTTCCCAAAAGGTTGTTTTTTGACATCCCTTTTCCTCCTCCTCCGTTGCACCCCCCACCCCCTCCCCCCACGGCTCTTTATCCGCATAATGTCTGTTGATGACCTCCTTACCGTTTGAAATTGTTGAAAAAAAAAAAAGGTTTTTCGAAGGTCGTTGCTTGTTTGTAGACGTACTCACGCGAATAAATAGACGTTATGTTGTTATTTTTTTAAATTCAAAAAAAACATTTTTATTTCCGATTAGCCAATGAATACTTGCGGTTAAAGAAAAAAAAAGAAAGAAAAGAATTGAAAGACACGATAAGAACTTTAAAGAGAAAAAAGTTAAAAAAAGACACAAAAGAAAGAAGGAATTTGATATTTTTTTTTATCCGGCTGTCCATGAGGAAATGAGGAATGGACGATAAAAATTCAGAGGAAATTGAAACCCCAAAACCCTCCGAATACCGCAGAATGGTATCAGACGTGTGGGAATATTGTACTAGAATCAGTGATACCCTCGTACAGTGCAATCACTGTTCGAAAGTAATGAGCTTTCACGGAACGACAAACATTCGGGTGCATGTTGGTAGACATTTTGGCATGAAACCGGTGAGGTGCAGGAGTACCGGGCGATTGCCCAGGAATATCAAACGTAAGATAACGGTTTGGTGAAGGGTATTAATAACAAAATAAACACAAAAACATAAAAAAACATAAAGAAACATAATTACATTGGTTATTTTTTTAATATGATTTAATATAGTGCCTCCGGCGAATCCGGGCCAGCAACAACAATTACACCAACAGCAGCAACAGCATACGCCTCAGGTTTCACCACAATCGCAACCTCAACCCTCACCTCCGCCCACCATCAATCAGAAAAAGGCGGGAGGAGGAGGAGGAGGTTTGCCTCCTCTGGCTCCGAAACCGAGCGGCGGTACGAAAGGAGGATCCTCTCAATCGAGTAGTACCTCATCGTCGGCGACCATCAAACAACTTCCGAAACTATTGCCGAAACCTCAAACTCCCCCGGAGGTATGCCTAAGGTGGAATTCGTATCATTCAAACATGCAAAACACATTTCCTAGTCTTCTGAATAACGAACAATTTGTCGACGTGACGTTGGCATGCGATGGAAGGAGCATAAAGTGCCACAAGGTAAATAACTGTAGTGGTAGTAGCAGTAGCAGTAGTGCCTTTAGGTTCGCGACGATTCTTGTGCCACGAACGTTTAAAAACAATAGTGATGATAATAATAATAAGTAAATAACGAACTCTTTTTGTTATTTGGGAGTTCGTTTAAAAGTCATTTTAATTACCCGACAATCGTAAGTTGGTCGCATTTTTAAATTTTAGCGACGTTACGTAATTGCTGTTGATGAAACGACTTTGAATTTTTCATCTTCTTTCTCTCTCTCTCTCTCTCTCTCTCTCTCTCTCTCTCTCACACACACTCACTCTTTCTTTCTTTCTTTATTAGAAAATAACATTGAAAAATCTGTTATAGTTTAGTTGTTTAATAATAATAATAATAATAATAATAATAATAATAATAATAATAATAATAATAATAATAATAATAATAATAATAATAATAATAATAATAACGTTTGGATTTTGACCTCGCGAATACATTGACTCTCATTGTACAACGAAAAAAAAAAAAAAAAAAATGGTATTGAGAAGCGTTTTTAATGTGAATCATCTCCGCGGTTATTATACAATCGCCATATTTGTCGGTAAAGATTCATGAAATTCGTCCTTAGATCTTTATTATTATTATTATTATTATTATTATTATTATTATTATTATTATTATTATTATTTTCGTTGTCGTTGTTGTTGTTCGCGAACGAGAGAGCAAACAGAAAAATAACTTATCAATTTCAATTATGTAAATTTTTATTATTATTATTATTATTATTGGGTCTCGCCCTTGTTAGGAAACCTTAAAATGCTGCCACAGGTTTTTTTTTTTTTTTTTTTTTTTTTTTTATTCCTACGTTGTTATTAAAAAATAAAATACGATAATGATAATGATATTGATAAGAGAGAGAGAGAGAGGGAAAACGTTCGATGTTCGTTCATCTTTTTCTTTTATCTTACATCGTCATTGAGCCTTAGAATTATTATTATTATTACTATTGATTTTTTTTTTTTATTAATAATTATGAAATGCGTTTGTTAGTTTTTATCACGCGCACAAACACACCCACAGGAATAGACGTGAGGTACGACAGCATCGTCTTCCTTGCATCTTTTATTGTTAAGGAAAAAAAAAGAAAAGTCGGTGGCGAATCGTAATTAATTAATTCGAGATTTTCATTCTTTTGCTTCAAACAAAATTTGTTATTACGTCACAATTTTTTTTTTTTTTTTAGGTCATGTTGTCGGCATGTTCGCCGTATATGGAAGAATTGCTGTCGTCTAATCCTTGTCAGCATCCGATAATATTTTTAAAAGACATGAAGTTTTGGCAATTGCAAGCTCTCATCGACTTCATGTACAGAGGAGAAGTGAACGTGACCCAAGATAAACTTCCGAGTTTGTTATCGGCTGCCGAAGCATTGCAGATAAAAGGTACGGGTACCTACCATCATCATCATCATCATCATCGAGAATGATTCTTTTAATCTCACTTATTTATTTTGTTTTCTAAAAAAAAGGTTTAGCTAGTCCAGTGAATCACAGTGCCCCTCCAAAAATAACTCAAGTACAACCCATGCCTACGGCGCAACACGATATCTCAGATGAAATGGACCAAGTCACTTACATGAGACATCTTCAATTGCAAACGGATATAAAAACCGAATATGACGATGAATACATGCAAGACACGGATGAATCTCCTCCTCCGACGCCAAAAGCTAAGGTTTGCAGCATCCATTTTCCCCTTTCTCCTCCTCCTCCTCCTCCTTAATGTTAAAAAAAAAAAATGTCTTCTGAATCCTTTGTGTTTTCGATTTTACAGAAGAGAAAAACATCGCACGTTTCACCGTATGGAAGTATCGGTGGTGGTGGTGGTGCAAATAACGTCGGGACAACGTCGGGGGGGAATAACATAATACTAAACAATAATTCCCACAAACAATTATTAGTTAATAAGACGACGAAAAGGGAAAAGGAAAGGCATTCGGAACCTTCTACGTCGAATCAACACGTGACTCAGGCACTACCCAATCAACACGGAACGGCGGATCAACATAGGAGAAAAAGTGATAACGATAAAATAGTAGGGGATAGCGATAACGAATATAAGGTAAGGTTATCAGGAGGAGGAGGAGGAGGAGACGTCATCGTCGTCATCATCACGACACTTTTCCCTCCATTTTGTTTGTTTGTTTGAGCACTGATATGTTTTTATGTTTTGTTAGAATTACTGCGAAGACAACAGGCATCATACGACAACTCAGGACGAAGAACTCGATTTAGACGAGGAGCACGCTCAAATAATACTTGAAAGATATTCATCTCAAAATGTAAGGCGACGACGACAGGTTTGCGACAGACATTTTTTTTTTCGTTCGATCCACGTGATCGTAGCGTCGCGTCGACGTCGTCACGAACGGTTGTTTATTATATATAACGAATTATATTTTCAGAACGATTATTCGAGAACGGGAGACGGAGGAGGTCCAGAAGGTGACGGAGATGAAAATAGTACAACGTCCGGATAACGGGACGCCACGTCGTCACCGCCGTCACCGTCATCGTCATCGTCATCGTCGTCATCATCAACGTCATCATTTCCCTCATCGACTCTTCGCGTTAATTTACCTCCAAGAACAAAATTTCAACCTGGATTTAGCCGAAATTTATTGAAAAAATTTTTCAATCATAAATGACACCGCGAATAATATTTTAAATTTCCCGCCGAAATGAAGAGATTTCGTAACGGAAAATAATTACGATAATGATGATAATGAGATAATAAGATTTTGTATCAAATGACGAAAGGGACGCCATGTTTTTTTTGTAACTGGCGACCGGATATTGATTGTATTTCCCCCCCCCCTCCCAAACGGGAAATTTGTCGAGACGGAATTTTTATTTATTTGATTAATTGATTGATCGATTGATTAATTATTATTATTATTATGTTAAGTAAAATTTGTTAAAATGAATCGTAATGTGGCGGGAAATTTGTCGCCAGTTTAAGGTCATGATTAAGAAGAGAAGGAATGAAAACAAAAGGAGAGTGAGAGAGAGAGAGAGTTTGTATTAAAAGGTTTTTGTTTGGTGGAAAATGGGGCACCGGATTTCGTTTGAACCTGAAATAATAATAATAATAATAATATTGGTCACGTGACGGCTAAAACCAGAGTTTTGAAAAAATTTATTTAAACGTATACTATTACTTAATTGAATTTTTTTTGTTTGTGTGTATAAGATTTGTAAATGATTTGATTTTTCCTTATTCTTTATATAAAACATGAAATGTAATAATAATAATAATAATAATAATAATAATAATAATAATAATATTTATGCGCATGCTTTACCCACAACAAATGACGATTTTGAAAAAAGGAAAGAAAAGAAAATTGAAAATTTACACGGGCGCCATATTGAATCGTCGTTGAACGCGGTTAATTTTTTTTTGTTTTCGTTCTTTCGTCGCCATTATTGTCTTTACCACCGCCACCACCACCACTATTACCACCATAACAAGTACAAAACATTGATCAAGACTGATTTGAAACAATCGCGAAAAAAAAAAAAAAAAAAAAAAATCAATCAATTTGTGTGTGTGAGGGAAAAAGAAAATTTAACCGACGCCATTGTCACCGCCGCCATCGCGCTTCACGAAATCCTATCCCGTTTGACAGAAAAAATAAATTTAAAAACAAACGAACAATTGTAAAAAGAACAAAACAGAACAAACAAACAAACAAACAGAGTACTTACAACGCCGTTGTTGTCTTATAATTATAAATTAAATGAAAATTTCAAAAAAAAAAAAAAAAAAAAAAAAACTTAACGGTTTTTTTTGTCCCGGTCAACGAATATATTGATGATGCCCTTTTCCGAACAAATTTAAACAATAACGATAATGATAATAATATTACTAATAATAATAATGATAATGATAATGATAATAAAACGATTTGTAGATTTCGTAAATAATATTTATTATTGTAAATGTACAAAAACAAAAAAAAAAAAAAATAGAAAAAACAAAAAAAAAAAAAAAAAAAACAAATACATAGGAAATAATAATAATAATAATTAATAATAATACTAATTAAATAAATAATTAATAATGGTAAATATAGTAATTATAGTAATGGTATAATTGTAAAGAAAAAAAAATTATTTATATATATATATATATATATATGTACGTATAAAAAAACTCTTGATTAAAGTATTTATTATGTATGTGTTATGATTTAGACTGATTATTATTATTATTATTATTATTATCATCATTAGGGATCGCGAAAACAAAAATATATATATATAATCATCATCATCATTATTATTATGATTTATTTACTTAATGGAAAATTCAAAACAACAAATAATGATGATGATGTTAGTGATATAGTTCGATGGAGATGTGGGTGTGCCTGTACACGTGAGAAACGTATTGTTTAGAGGTTTATATATATATAAGTATACGTGTTTTTTGCGTGCACGTGGGTGTACACGTGTAAGAGTCACACACAACAAACACAAGGGAAGAAAATATAAAAATGATGAAAAAAAATTTATTTTTCTTTCTTTTTTTCGTCCGACCGTGTGTCAGTGAAAAGTTTATCATTAACGACGATGGTAGTAGTGTGGTAATAATAATGATAATAGTAATGGTAATAGCAGTAGTGGTAGTGGTGGTGGTGGTGGTAATGATAATAATGATAATTGATAAGAAAAAAGCAATTTTGTGAGAATTTCGAGGGGAGAAAAACAGACCCACAACAACCCGATCGAAACAATATGTATGCTTAGCTTACGATCGCATTATGTGTCTTTATTATTATCATCATCATCATCACAACTACTACTGCTATCATTATCATTATTATTATTACCATTACTATTATTATTATTATTATTATCACTGTAATAAATATATATGTATAAACGAATAGATTTAAAAAAAAAAAAAAAATTATTATTATTATTATAAAATTAATGATAAGAGAAAAATAAGAAAATAATAATGATAATTATGATTACTATTATGATTTATTAATATTATTATTATTATTATTATTTAATTTTTTATTTTTATTTCTTTTTGTTTCTGTTCGGTAGATTTATCAAGTAAGTAGCGAGTCAAATAATTAATTTTTATTTTAAAAGTTTCACCCATTTTTAGATACTAAAATAAATAAGAGAGAGAGAGAGATAGAAATTATTAAACGAGTGTGTATAACCATGTTAAATAAATAAATAAATAAATAAAATGACATTAAAATAAAAATTTATTTATTAATTAAATAATTTATTTTTATTTTAATTATTTATCGAAATATTACAAATGCGGAAAGAATGAGAAAAAGAGAAAGAGAAAGAAAGAACAAAAGTTTCGTTTATTATTATTATTATCATTATCATTATTATTATTATTATTATTATTTTATATTATTATTATTATTATTATTATTAACATCGCTTATTATGAAGTGGTCAAGTAAGTTTTTTATTTTTTTTTTATTTTTTTCAAACCGTTGCGAAACATTCAAGTAATTTTTTTTTTTTATTAACATGGTGCAAAAATTAAATAATAATAATAATAATAATAATAATTTGATTTATTTTATTTTATTTAAAAAAATTATTTATTTTTTTATTTTATTTTATTTAAACCGACATTTTGAATTTTTGCGTAATTTTTTTATTTATTTATTTTTTTTTTTAAATTCGATTAAAAAATATTTACATTCGGGTAATTTTAATTTTAACTTTTTTTTTTTTTTTTTTTTTTTTTCTCGATTAATAAAATTTTATTTCCTTATTAAAAATGATAATAATAATAATGATAATAATAATAATAATAATAATAATAATTTTCCCATTCGTTTCAATCGGATTTTTTGCGTGGTAACTTAAGTTTTGCAATTTTTTTTTTTTTTTTTAATATATCAAAAATGAAATTTCATTAATAATTTTTTTTTTTTTTAAACGATACTAATAATAATGATGATAATAATAATGATGATAATGATAATAATAATGATAATAATAATAAATTTATTACATAAAATATTTATATATGTGTGGATACGAGACAGTGAGTTTTAAAAAAAAAAAAAAAAATAAATTTAAACAACATGCAAAATTTTTTTTTTTTAATTGAGTTGGTTTATTTAAAATAATAATAATAATAATAATTTCAACAAGTTTTTCTTTTTATAATTACAAAAAAAAAAAAAAAAAAAAAAAAAAAAGAAAACATTTAACGTTAAAATAAAATAACTTTCATAATAATAATTTCGTTTTTTACACATAAAAAATAATAATAATATTAGGTTTAGTAATTGATTTGTCACAGATTATTTTAATCGTTGCAATTTTTTAAAATTTTTATTTCCTCTCTTTAGAGTCTCTTTATTTTTTTCATATTTAAAAATTGTTTTCTTTTTTTTTTCTGTCACAGTTTTACTAAAACATTTTTAATATTTACATTATAATTTGTACATAAAAATTTATACATAAGTAATAGAAATAAATAAATAAAAAAAAAAAAAAATTATTTTAATCTCGCAACATAATGATTTGTTTGTTGTTCGAGAGCCGCTACGAACATGACATACAAATTCTGCTATCTTCTACTGTTTTGTAACTGGAAAAAAAAAATGCATTCGAATTTCTTCTTGTCTATAATAATGATTGGTTTTTTTTTTTGTCTTATAAATAACTTACTTGATAAAAGAACAAGAATTGCAAAAATGTTCTCGACAAATAATACATTCGTGTAACAAATTAGTATCGAAATCACAAAATGAACATTTCATGGGTGGGTTAATAGAATTATTATTCGAATTCAATTTCTAAAAAAAAAATAATATCACATTGATAATTTTTATTTTATATGGAAAAATTATTATTATTTTCGAATTAAATAATACTCACACCGTTTTATAATTTAATTTTCCATTAATTGTAAAATAATTTGTGACGCTCTTTTGTAAAAATTTTTTATCATCAAATGATTGTGAAAAACATGTTTTAGTATCATCATCAAAATTTTTTTTATTTATTCCATTTGAATATAATTTTTTACATCCATCAATTAATTTTGTAATAGTTTTTTCTTACAAAATAAAAATAATCGTAAATAAATAATTAATATTAATTAAGAAATTATTTAAAGGTTTTTTTTTCTCTCTCTCTTTATTAAAAATCATCTCACCTTGTATATATTTTAAAACATTTTCATCATTTTCGTAATCGCTTATATGAACTTTTGATTGCCTACAAATGTGACTATCAAAAGGACGAGCTCTTTTAGTCATTGTAAATAATTTAGTAATAATCGAAATAAATAAAAAATAAATAAAAAAAAAATAAATTTTATACTGGATGTATTTATAATAAAAAAAAAAAATTATTAACAGTTAAAAGAAAAGGTCGTGGCAGCAACTATTATTTGAATGATTTCAAAATGGCCGAACGTCGTTTGAGTTTAATCGTTTTCATGTAACTTTTTCTTTTTTTTTTTTTTTTTAATGTCATAACAAATTTATTAAATTTTTTTTTTGTAATATGTAAAATTTAGAAAATGAAATTTAAAATAATTTTAAATTAATTACTTAAAAAAAAATATTTAAAACGAAAACGTAACGAATATCGAATATGACATTTTGAAATCATGTGTTTAATGTGATTTACATTCTTTTTATTCTGAGCATTGGTGACAGAGAGAGAGAGAAAGAAAAAAAAAAGCTTTAACGAACTTATGCAAGGTAGGATTTATATAAAATATTTAATATTTTTTAAATGATTTTAGTACAAAACAAGTACTTGTGCAACAGTAGTTGGGTTGTTTTACAAAAGTCATGTATGAAAGAGAAAATAAAATTTTTTTTTTTTAATTTTTCTTTCACTTTCCATTTGAAATGAAATAAATAAAAGTTTTGTGTAATCGAAACTTTTTAAATTATTTTGAAACACATTATTATTATTATTAATTAATTATATAAATATTCAATTTGAAAACGTTTCTACTTTTTTTTTTAATTTGCTATATATAAAGTTAAAAGGATTTGATGATTCTTTTTTGTTTTCGACAAAAAAACTTTTAAATCATATTCGAATGTGTGCAAAACAATAATTTTTTTTTTCGATTCATCAATCATGTTATAAATAATGTTATGTTAAATTTTATCGTAAAATGATCACACACACACACACACACATTTCTCTCCCTCACTCGATAATTTTAATGACACAAAATAATATTTCAATATCCCATCAAAAGAATCTATGGTAATTTGTTTGTGAAAGAGAAAAACTAATGAAATTTTATTATTATTCATGCATGACAATAATATGAGTAAAACAATCGAGAAGACATACATGCACACACACACACACACACAAATTTTCCAACAGTTTGAATAGAGAAAAATTGATTTTCGAATAGATTTATGAATTAATTAATAAAATAATGTGTGTTATTATGTATGTATGTATGTCTTTTCCATAGTATCAATCATTCGATAACAATGTTTTGTACATATTCTATATCATTTTATTAAAAAAAAAAAAAAAAAGAAATTATTATCATCATCGATATTATTATTCGCACTAAGATATTTTATGGTTTTTCCTTTATTTAAGTTTCGATTGTAGAAAACATTTTCACATTTGTTTGTTTGTTTGTTTGTTTTAAAAAGGGAAAAAACATAAAAAATTATTTTATGTTTTGTTTAGCTTAAGTAAATTACAAAAGTTAAGAAAAAAATCCAAAATGGTTGATTGATCACATTTTTTAATGTGTGTTTAAACAAAAAGTTTACAATTTTTTTTTTTTTTTTTTTTTTGTTTAATTTTATCACGTAATTTTTTTTTTTTTTTTTTTTAATCCTTGACTCGAACCTTAATGACCCTTTTTTGTACTTAAGGAAAAAAATTGTAAAAAATTGCGCGCAATTTCTGCTTTTTTAAAAGAATAAACTTTTAGCGTTAATTATTCTCGTAAATATAATTTACTTTGTTTGAATTGACAAGGTAAATCACGTGACATCATCACGTCGTGCCATATAATGTATATTCTTTTTTCATTATTATTATTATTATTTTTTTTTTTGATAGGAGGGAAGATAATTTATTAACAATCGACACAAATCGATCGATCGATAAATCGAACCCATTTTTTTTTTAAATTTTCAAATGAGTTCAATTTTCAATAAAAATAGAAAGAAAAGTTTTTTTTTATGTCGAGCAAGGGTCAAACCCTTTGATTTTAATAACAAACACAAATTTTTAAATGCTGTTTCGGTTGTTTTTTGTTTGTTTGTTTGTTTGTTTACTAATAAAAATAACTGAAAAGGAAAAAATAATAATAATGTTGAAACGGGGAGGCTGATAAGAACGTTTTTGATTTAATTGCGCATTTTTAAACACGTTCAAAATTTTCCCGGTATTCTGTGTCAATCAATCAATCGATCGATCGATCGATCGATTGAATAAGGAAAAAGGGTATTTTTCGTTTAAGCTGGCATAATCGAAGGTTTAAGGTACAAGGATGATGGGTTCGTTGTAGGAAAATATAAAAATTTTAAGATGTGATTTTTATTATTGAAACAAAAAAAACAAAATGGCGGACTCGTATGATGTCTTGGGCAGGTTATACAAATCCAGTTGCTAAGTGCAAATAATTATTATCATCATCATCATCATCATCATTATTATTATTTTTCGTTAACCTCCTCTCCCTTACTACTCGAATGTAATATTTACCTGTCGATTATGTAAATTTAAAAAAAAAAAAAAAATATGGACGCCATCACTTGTCGTTCGTATTGCATAATTTTTTTTGCGGAAAAAGAAAATTTTTTTTTTTTTTTTTTTTGCAAATTTTCAATTAATTTTCATTTAGTTTGTTTGTTTGTTTGCTATATTTTTCGACAATTCGAGTTTAACAACAACAACAACAACAACCAAAAACTCGTTTTTTTTAAACGATGATGACCTTTTTTTTTTTAAACTTCCTGAAAGGTTGAATTTTAACGGTCGGTTTTTAAAGAACTGATTTGGGCGTAACTTGGTGCAAATTTAATGATGAATTTATCTTTATGTTTACCTTATGGCTTATCGTTCCTCCCCGCACCCACCCACGCCCCCCAACATCCCCTCAAATTAAAATTTTTATGTGAGTGAATCCAGTAAAAAAGGGGGAACAAAAAATTTGGGGAAAAGGTTCTTTCTGTTTTCCCCTCATCCTTCCTTTTATTGATAACCCGGATAAGTGAGATAAGGATAGATGGTTCGTTCAGGTTCAGGTTCGTACCTTTTATTTCAACGGTTGCGTTTGGAAAATGGCAAAATTTTGTGTTGTTTCTGGTTGCATTTTGTTTGGCATTTTGAATTTCATACTCCTCGACAATCGTCCCCGTTTCCTTCCCCCCTCTCTCTCTCTATTTGTCTCCCCTTCTCTCTCTTGGCAAATAATTGACATAACATACGGGTAGGAAGTGATGGAGTGAAGGAGTACTTGGTAAACATGGGAAAAAAATTCGAAACAAATCGAAACCCGTACGTACTTAACGCGTTTTAAAAATTTTGTTTAAATTAAAAAAAAAAAAAAATTACGTAATGTTTGTTGTTGAGACAAAGTATATAATAAACGAATGGAATATACGGTGATCCATACGCACAATCGCACGCACAATCAACGTTTCAAAAACTTTTTTTGTTTTCTCTCCGTTTGTTTGTTTGTTTGTTTCGTGTTATTGTAATTAAACGAAAACAAGTAAGTTGAAATTATTATTATTACTATTACTATCGTTGTTATTATTATTATTATTATTATTTTTACTGTTTTGGTATCGAAGGTAATTATTATAGGAAATCGTTCGTTTGTTTGTTTGTTTGTTTGTTTCTTGTTTGTTATTAATCGCGTAAACAAATTTTACGGTTGTTTTTTTGTTTGTAGAAAAAAATCAAAATGAAATACGCTTTGGTATTTGCTTTTTTCGCCGTTTTTGCCATCGCATCCGCTTTCCCGAGTGAAAATTCGGAAAAGGAAGAAGAAACGAAATCGGATTTGAAAAAATTAGATGATGCTAAAGTCGAAGAAACTGGTGCTCAAGCTAAATCTTCCGTTTCCGGTGCGTGGTGATGATGAAAGGATTTTTTTTTTTTTTTTGATTTTTCCAACCTTTCCAACGAAACGACTAAATTTTCTTTTTTTTTTTTTTTTTCTTTTTCTTTTTCCGTTTTGTTCTCGATGGTGTTGTTCACGATGATGATGATGATGATGATGGTGATGATGGTGATGATGGGGATGATGATGATGCTGTTGGTGATGGTGGTATTTGCAGATGAAGAAAGATGCGAACCAGGACAAAGTTTTGCCAAAGAATGTAACACTTGCACGTGTCCAGACAGCGGTTTGAAATCATTGGCCGGATGTACTCTTAAACTTTGTTTGTAAAAATAAAAAATTCAAGAATTATTGAATGAATGAATGATTGATTGATTGAAAAATCAATCAATCAATTCATCAATCCGTCAATTTTTATTTATTTTTTTGTTTGTTTCCTTTCATTCAATAATTATGTAACCAATCGTTTTCTTTTTTCTTTTCTTTTTTTTTTTTTTTTTTATTATTTTTATTAAATTTTAAATTTTTTTTATGTAAGTTTTATATAAAATAAAAAAATGTACAAATCAAATTGTTGAATTTATTTATTTAATTTTCTTTTTCTCGATTGTTGTGGTTGTTGTTGTCGTTGTCGAACCTTAAAACGTTTCGTTTAATCCTTTTGTGATTGTTGTCGTCGTTTTGGTAAATGAAAAGTAAAGTTGGGAAAAATAAGGAAAATTTGTTTTGAGTTTTATCTTTCGATAAATATACGTTCAATGTTAAAATAAAATAATAATAATGATAATAATGGTTTTCACGTTGAGAACTGCGACTTGAGGTTTTTGTTGGGTGTTTGTTGTTGTTGTTGTTAATGTTGTTATCGGAACTGATAAGTTTTTTTTTTTATTAAAAACGCAAAATTATAATCGCTATGTTGAAAAATTTGAGTGATTTTGGTTTTTTTTTTTTTTTAACAATTCTTAAAAAGCTCTCTCTCTCTCTTTCTCTCTCTCTCTCTCTCTCTCTCTCTCTCTCTCTCTCTCTTTCTCTCTCTCTCTCTCTCTCTCTCTTTCTCTCTCTCTCTTTCTCTCTCTCTCTCTCTCTCTTTCTCTCTCTCTCTCTCTCTCTCATTTTCTACTAGTTCTCAGTCTTTGTCTTTCTCTCTCTCTAGTTCACCTAAATCTCACTCCTGTCTCTCTCTCTTTTTCTCTTAGTTCTCACTCTTTGTCTCTTTCTTTCTCTCTTTTTTCTCTTAGTTCTCACTCTTTGTCTCTCTCTCTTTTTTTCTCTTAGTTCTCACTCTTTGTCTCTCTTTCTCTCTCTCCTCTAGCTCTCACTATTTCTTTCTTTCTCTTTCTTTGGTTCCCCTAGCTCTTACTCTTTGTCTTTCTCTCTCTCTTTATCCTAGGCCTCACTCTTTGTCTCTCTCTGGTTCTTCTAGGTCTCACTCTTTTTTCATTTGTCTTTCTCTCTCTTTTTCTTTTTTTTCCTCTTACACAACTCATTAATAAAACAAACATAGTAGTAGTAATAATAATGATGATGATGATGATAGGAATGGTCCCGGTGTTGATGATGATGATATTGATGATGATGATGATTATGATATGTAAAACAATTAAAAAAAAAAATTTTTTTATTTTTATTTTTATTTATTTTTTATTGAATTAATAAACATTGATTAAACTGCGTGATTATTATTATTATTATTATTACTTTTTATTATTATTATTACTTTTTATTATTAAAATGTAGCGGGTAATTATTACTCGTTGCGTTTAATTACTTGTCGTTATTATTATTATTACAATTTTTATTATCGTTTATATGAATTTTATTACTCGCAAATAAAAAACAATTTTTTTTTTTTTTTTTCTTGAAAAACCTAAAAACAAAAAAAAAGTTGTTGATGATGATGATGATGATGATGATAATGATATCGAATGAGTTCATTTATTATTTTAAAACTAATAAATAAATGAAATAACAAACAAACAAAATTTTAATTTTAATTTTTAATTTAATAAAAATTTTTTTTTTGTTTTTCAGGTAATAAAAAAAAAATGAATAAGAAATTCGCCATTTTGAATCATCCAACCAACGTCCCCAGCATGGGATTCATCCGGGATTTTTGGTCTCTTGAAGATTTGACGAAATGGTTTTAATTATTCTGGACCGCGGGATCATCTGTAAAAAAAGAACGGAAGGAAAGGATGCAAAAAATGTGAGTTTTAGTCAAAATTATTTTTTCTCTCGTACAAAAACTTGTACCGGAAACGGAAACGAATTTGGGAATCGGTATTAAGGATTAGAGATTAAGGATTGGGGATTAAGGATGTGGGTGATTCGATTCGGATAGTGCTCTCTCTCTCTCTCTCGCTCTCGGTGCACTCTCTGCTCTCTCTCTCTCTCTCTCTCGCTCTCGGTGCTCTCTCTGCTCTCTCTCTCTCTCTCTCAAACGAACGTTTACCTGTTGCTGGTGGGGGGCAAAGTTTTCTTTCGCAATAGGATTCGATTCCGTCATCGCCGCACACGCACTTGTTACACTCTTTGAAAAAAGTTTTCCCGGGTTCGCAAATTTTTTCGTCTGAAATTTTCAAAAGGAAAACTAATAAAAAATTAATGAGTGAGTGCGAATAATAATGATGATGATGATGATGATGATTCTTTTAAAAAAAGAATCAAAATTATCATTATTATTATTTACCGTTTTCTGCCGTGACGAAAGCAAAGCAGACGATAAAGGAAACGATGAGTATCAATTGAAATTTCATTTTGTTTTTTTTTTCCACTATTCAAACGAAATTTCTAGAAAATAAAAAAACAATAATTAATTAATTAATTAATCGGTTTAATAACAATGGTTTATTGTTCGGTACGCGCTTTTCCATACCCCCCCACCCCCGCGCGCGCGAGGATTTGATTACGGGTTGATTACGGGGGGGAGGGAAATGAATGAATGGCAAGTTCGATAAACTTAATTTTAAAAAATTGGGTTTTATATTCGAGAATAAGCGAATCGAAAACGGAATCGATAGATCGATCCATCGGTTTTCCTTCCCTCTCTCTCTCTCTATTGAAGGGAAAAAATTTCGGAAAATTTTCAAAAAAAAAAAAATTAAAAAAAATTAAAATTAAAACTTACTTTCTCGTATACAATAAGAAAAAAAAAAAGAAAAACGTTTAAAAATTTTTTTTTTTTTTTTTTTTTTTTAATAATAATGATTCGAACGGGGAATTTTCCGGCGGTTTTATACCTGGCGAAGTGAGGAGCCGAACGTGCGTGAAGTGATAAGATCAGAGTCAAAACTCGATATGTGTCGTAGTCGTCGTGTAGTTAAAATTTAAAATGAATACTTCCGGTCGGTACGTCGGTACGTCGGGGCACGAGAAAAATACGACGAACGGTTTTATTTGGGTTAAATTTGCTGAGAGGGGAGCGGGGGGATGGGGATGTTGGGAAATGCCAAAGAAAAATTTTTTTCTTTTTTTTTTTTTTTTAATGCGTTCTCTCTCTCTCTCTCTCTCTCTCTCTGATATTTTCCGGTGGTAGTAGTAGTAGTAGTGATTGGAAAAATTCGTGCATTCGTTGTTGTGTGTGTGTGTGTGAGGGAGAAACCGGGAAAACTAATGAAAATGAATTTAGGAAAAAGTTTTAGTCAATTACGCGGGTCTTATTACGTATTAACAAAACGATAATGAACTTGATAATGCTTTTAAATATATTATTATTATTATTATTATTATTCGTATAAGAAAACGGTTATAAAAAATTTTCTTTTTTTTTTTTTTTTTTTTATCAAACGTCGTTATCATTATTATTATTATTATTATTCATCAATTTTTTTTTTTTTTTTCAATGATTTTGACAATTAATTATCATTTCGTTTGGAATTTTTCGTTTTTTTCTAGAATTTTCTTTTGGGTTGTAGTTTTTTTTTTTTTTTTTTTTTATTCATCCGTCGGTCTGTAATTATGGATTATTATTATTATTATTATTATTATTATTATTATTTAAATAGTTTAGTAGTAGGGAAATAAAAATAACGTTTAAAAGACACGAATCCAACACGTGTACAGTACAATGACGTCACGTTTCATTTTAAAATAATTTTTTGGGGGGTTTTCGTCGGGTAGGAAAAAAAAAAAAAAATAAATTAAATTAAATTAATTTTTACGATTTACATATAATTTTTTTTATTAATATATATATATTTAAAAGCGTATAAAAAAAATTATATTAACATTAATAATAATAATAATAATAGTAATAATAATTAACATAAATATAATTAAATGAAAGTCGTAAACGTTTAATGAGCTTCTTCACCGCATGTCAAAAGCGTGCACGTGGCTGCCGATTTATGTCCTGTTGGTGGGCACGTGCAATCGTTGCAAAGTTTTTTAAATGTTTCTCCCGGTGTGCACGAATCTTCATCTAAAAAGGGAAATTTAAAAAAGTTTAATTGAGACCCTTACTTTTCGACGGGGGAGGGAGAGAGAGAGAGCAGAGAGTTAGGGGGGGGGAGAGAGAGAGAGAGAGAGAGCAGAGAGTTAGGGGGGGAGAGAGAGAGAGAGCAGAGAGTTAGGGGGGAGAGAGAGAGAGAGCAGAGAGTTAGGGGGGAGAGAGAGAGAGAGAGAGCAGAGAGTTAGGGGGGAGAGAGAGAGAGAGAGAGCAGAGAGTTAGGGGGGAGAGAGAGAGAGAGAGAGCAGAGAGTTAGGGGGAGAAAGAAGAGAAGAGAGAAGACGGAAGAGGACAAGGAGACAGGGAAGAGGGAAGACGGAAGAGGACAAGGAGACAGGGAAGAGGGAAGACGGAAGAGGAGTAGGAGGCAAGGAAGAGGGAAGACGGAAGAGGAGTAGGAGGCAAGGAAGAGGGAAGACGGAAGAGGAGTAGGAGGCAAGGAAGAGGGAAGACGGAAGAGGAGTAGGAGGCAAGGAAGAGAGAAGAGGGAAGAGGACAAGGAGGCAAGGAAGAGAGAAGAGGACAAGGAGGCAGGGAAGAGGGAAGAGGAGAAGGAGGCAAGGAAGAGGGAAGAGGACAAGGAGGCAAGGAAGAGGAAAGAGGACAAGGAGACAGGGAAGAGGAGAGGGTGAGAGGAGTACGGAACGAAAGGGTTGTCTCTTTTACCTTTGTCTTCGGCTTTTTCTTCTTTCTTTTCTTCTGCTTCTTCCTTCTTTTCTTCCGTTTCTTCCTTTTTGTCTTCTACGTCTTCTGCTTTGGCTTCGTCGTTTTGTACGTGCTCTTCTGTGTGCTCTGCCTCCTTGGTTTTTTCTTCAGTTTTGGTTTCGGTTTCGGTGTGGGGTTTCTCTTCGGTTTCTTCTTTTTTTTCATCTTCGTGAGTTTCAGTCTTTGCAGCGTCATCTCCTCCTTCTTTCGGTTTTCCATCTTCGGTTTGTTCTTTGTGTTCTTCGGTTTCCGCGTGAGTTTCTTCTGCGGCTTGATCGCTCTGTGGCTTGTCTTTGTGTTCGTCGTCGGTCACGGATTGAGTTTCTTCTTTGGGTTGATCACCCTGCGGTTGTTCCTTGTGTTCTCCTTCTTTGTGTTCTCCTCCATTTTCCGGAACGCAGAGTTTTTTCGTGCAAACCATGTCGGTTCCATCGTCGGTGCATTTACACGAATTACATTCCATTTTAAACGTTGAACCGGGTTCGCAGACGTTACCTTTAAAACATGAGATCGTAGAAACGTTATTCGGTTAACAATAATAATAATAAAAGAAAACAAAAAAAAAAAAAAATTTTTTTTCTTACTCGGTTTTGCTTGGATCTCCATAATTAAAAAGCAGCTTAAAGCGGCCATTAAAATCATTTGGAACTTCATCTTGTTTCCTAAAAAAAAAAAATAAAAAAATAAATAAATAAATAATGAAAAATATAAAAAAATTTAAAATTATTATTATTATTATTTTAATAAAACTTACTGTCGGTGTGTGTGCGTGCGTGCGTGCGTGTAAATTTAAATACTGAAAAACTTTAAATTATTATTATTATTATTGTACGTGTGAACACTGCAAAGGATTTCAACAGACTCTTGTCATTCTCTGTGGGAGCTTCCCGTTATATACCCAGATAGAACGATCGATCGTTGGCCGACCAACGAACCGACCGATTGATCGATAGATCGATATATCGATTACGATTAACGTACGTAAAAATCGTCATATACGAATAATAAATAGAAATATGATAATAAAATATCAAAATAGGCTATCGAACGGCAAAAAAAAAAAAAAAATGATAAAACCGGGAGGCAAACGACAAAAAACAAACAAACAAACAACAATGAAACGATTCTCGAATGACAACGACGACGACGATTACGATAAATTTTAAAAAATCGAATGTTGTCGCGAAATTTCGATTAATCGATTTTTTAAAAAAAAAAATACATGAATGAATGAAACAGAAAACGATGATAATTTTAAATTAATTAACGTGAACCGTTAAGATTAATCATTTGTTTGAATAACCGGAATTACGTCACACTCGTCAAAATCGATTAACGGTTTTTTTTTTTTTTTAAATTCTATAAATCGGAGGCGGGGGGTGGACGGTGGGGTGGGGTGTGTTTCGTTTCGTTTGGTCGGAAATTTTCTCTAAAAGGATAAATAAACATGTCCGTAACTGTTTTCGTTTGTTTGTTCGTTCGTTTGTCTTAATTAATAAGCCCCCCGTCCTCCCCTCCCCCCGTACCTGAAACGACGAAAGAAAAGAGTAAGCTTAAGCCTAAGCCTTGTTAAAGTCAATTTACAATAACAACAACATTTGTTATAATAATAATAATAATAATAATAATAATAATAATAATAATAATGATATAACAAATATTACATTTCCAATTAATAATAATTAAAATAATAATAATAATAATAATCGCGCGCTTTTCAATTTTTTTCAATGTTCGTAAGATATCGATGACGTCACGGACACCGCGACCGTTAATGCGAAAAAGAGAGAGAGAGAGAGAGGGAGGGAGAAAAACATGTCAAAATTAAAAAAGTAGTGTCATTAGAATCAATTTTTTTTTTTAGGTTAAGGTTAATGAGGGTATTTATTGTTTGCTGCCATTATAACCCTAAGTTATCCGTCGGAAAAATACCTATTAATAATAATAATGATGATGATGATGGAGCCCTAAAGGTTAAAAGACAAACTGAATTTTGCGATACCACCAACGACGGAAAACAAGTTGGAAAATTAAATGAAAAGTTAGAAAATTGGTTTACGTGATTTACAGCAGCAGCAGCAACTGCTGCTGCTGCTGTTTGTCGTCGTCGTCGTCTGTATGGTCCCCCTTGCTACTGTCAATTTTCCATTTTGGTTCGTTACGTCACCGACATTAACTTTATTTACATGTAACTGATGATGTTTTATTATTATTATTATTATTATTGTTAAAAAAAAATGAGTATTATCGTTTATTATTGGAAACGTTATCGGTTTTTATTGACCCGATATATTATTATTATTATTATCATTATTAAATTCGTTGATTTACAAAAAATGTCGATTATAAAAAACGCGAGAGAATGTTAAAAAGTCCAAACTTTGGAATGAGGAAAACTCATTCATATGCCACTGATGGTGGGGGGGGGTGAGGGGAAATGACACAATCACTATTAGAAGAACGCAAGAAAAAAATGAAAGGGGAAACGAGAACAGAATAACGCGGACAACAACCAGGTACGAATCGTTACCCTAGAAAGACAAGTACCACCCTTTGGATGAATTGAGGGTTCCCTAGCACTAAACCGCGGATATCAATCATCCTGAGGGAAAATTCCAGAATTAATTCGAGCATTCATTAGGAGGGGGGAGGGGGCGGAAAAGGATGAAATTGAAACGAAATTTGAAACGAAACCGATTCAAAGCCTCGGGAAGCCATGGGAAAGAATTACAAACCAACATTCGAAACATTTATTCCTGAGGGAACGAGCAAAAGACCTGAAATGAAAAGCGAGGGAAGGGGAGAGGAGGGGAAGAAGGAAGAAAATTCAATTCAAACGTCGTGGAATAAAAATGAAAAAATTATTCATCGAACGGTAGGGTGGCAAAACAACAACAACAACCGACGAAAAACGCTTTTTTAAAATTTACTTTAGAAACAACATCATCATCATTATTATTATTATTGTTGTCGCTGAGAGAGAGAGAGAGAGAAAAGGGTTAAAAATTTAAATAAAATATTTTGTTATTAATGAATATATAAATTACATAATATTACGAAACGAGAGAGAGAGAGGAAGAGAGAGGGAGGGAGGGGGAGTAATCCCGAGTGTCACACGAGGTTATCGGAGAGGGGAGAAAAAGAAGAAAATCGAAAAAAAAATTTTTTTTTTTTTGTCGCAAAAAAAAAAGAAGAAAAGAAACGATTTTTAAAATGTCGACAATAGTTTAATCAAAATTATTATTATTATTATTATTTATTTATTTCGCACGCGAGAGAATACGTTTGTTTGTTTGTTTGTCTGTCTGTTTGTATCAATCAAGAGCAAAAACGCACGCACGCACGCACGCAACAAGATTCGAAATTTTCAAACCTAATATTATTATTATTATTATTATTATTAATTTTCGAAATATGAAAAAAAAAATGTCAATATCGACGCTGTCGTTGTCATTATTATTATTATCATTATTATTATTATTCGACACGTTATCGATGACGTTATCAGAACCGCGAATCAGTGAGTAAATGAATTAAAAATTACCAAAAAAAAATCGAATAATAATAATAATAATAAAAAGTATTGCCAACATGAGAAAAATAATTTTTTTTTGTATGATTTCAGGGGAGGAAATTTGCATACCCGGATCGATATTTAAAAAAGGTTGCGAAATGTGTTCATGTTCTCCGGATGGACAAATTTTATCATGCGTTCCAATAAGTTGTAAAAATCTTAAATTTTAATCAAGAGAGAGAGAGAGAGAGAAAATACTCATAATGAAAAGGTGAATCCTTTTTTTATCTCTCTCTCTCTCTTTCTCTTTTAGAAAAAATAATTAATAATAAACTCGTATGAAAAAAAAAAAAAATCGTTTTTTCGATCTAAGGACTTTTTTTTTGATTCCTTTTCTTTTTCCCGATTTCCTAATTTTTTGGAGATGAAAGAAAAAGATGAAAGATAGAGAGAGAGAGAGAGAGAGATAGGGAGGGAGGGAGGGGGAGGGAAAGGGGGGGGGAGCAGACCATTTTCGATAATTTCCTATCCAAGCAAAAAAAAAAAAAAAAGAGCATTCGTGACCGTTTAATTTTCATGTTCATTATTATTATTATTATTTAACATTGAGAACATTTCTCACGTCATTTTTTTTTTTTTTTTACACGAATAATAATAATGATTATTATTATTATTATTATACTTGAATCGTTCAAGGTTTAAAATAAAAAAAAAAAAAAAAAACAATTTTATCCCCGCAGACGAGTATTCCATGAGGGTTTCCTTGGGGAAAAAAAACAAACAAAAAAAAAAAAAAAAAAAACAAGAAATATCCGACCTCTCTCTCTCTCTCTCTATCTATCTATCTATCTCTATCTCGCTCGCTCGCTCGAACCATTTCTCGTTTGCGTGACTTTTCCGTGTGACGTCACACGTTATAAACGGAATTCTCCTAACCCGATCGAACAATCTTATCCGTTAACAAAAAATTTAAATAGGTTATTATTATTATTATTATTAGTTTTCCTAAAGAAGAATGCTCTCTTTCTCTCTCACTCTCTATCTCTATCTCTTTTCTGTCCGTTTGCACTCTGATCGACAATTAAAAATATTATAGGGGCAAACAAAAAAAAAATTGGGATAGATAAACAAATCCCGCGGGGAATAAATTTAAATTGAGGAAAATGAGGATAATAATTAGGGATTATTAAGTGGAGGGAAGGCGGGCGGGGAGCGGGGGCAGAGGAGAAATACGAAAAGCGAATGAGGTTATGGGAGTGACGAGGAAATCGTCTTTTTATCTCTCTATCTCTGTTTCTCTCATCCTTCTTATTCTCTTTTATCTCTCTCGCTCTCTCTATCGTTTGCGTGACGATTTCGTTTGTCGGCGGAAAATTTTTTCCTACACACACATCTATATATATTTATCTGCACTTTGACTTCCATCATAAAAATTATTATATTATGTATATTAATTATTTCCTGTCCCCGTATTTTCTATCTCTCTCTCTCTCTTTTTTTTTTACGTATAAATAAAATTATTTCGTTTATTAAAGTAAGTCCTATCGTCAAAAAATCGTTTTCCGTCGGTTTTTCAATTTCATCGCGATCGTTTTACCGGATTCCCAGTGACGCCAACACACCGAACACAAATAAATATTTTGTTTGAAAACTTACCCAATCAGGAAAAACGCTGTCGACGTTCCGCCATTTCCACCGTCGTCGTCGTCGTCGTCGTCCTCATACTAAAAAAATTGTTGTTTTTCGTAAAATGTTCTGTCGCGCGTTCCTGAAAAACAAAACATTATTATTATTAATATTTAGAAGAAAAAAAGGGGAGTTTTTGTAAATAACTAAGGTCCAATCAAGGCTACCTTTAAGGAAATCGCAAAAAAAAATTTTCTCGAAATTCCCCCCCCCCCCACTTCTCGTACCCTCACTCGACAAATTTTTAAATGAAAATAATTAACGTAAAAAAAAAATCTTACTCGTAATAATCAAATAATAATAATAATAATAATAATATTTGAAGAAGGAATCCTTTTGAATTTTATTTTTCTTTTCCCACGTTCATCCACATCGTTGTGAAATCATTTTAACCAATCACGACGAATCGAATCCAAAGCTGAATGCTGAAAAAAAAAAAAAAGTTTATAATAATAATAATAATAATAACAACCACAAACAATGGATACGTACTCATTGGAGACGACAGCAAACATCAGGACAAATCCGGGCGTAACAACCAACATGACCGAATAAGATGTAGAAAGGGGGGTGGGGGAAAAAAAACAGAATCCATCGGAAGGCGTTTGGAAAAATTATTAAATATTCGTGTTATCATCATCATCATCATCACCGTCCGTCCCTTCGTTCGCCGCCATTTTGTACATAAAAATGGTATCGAAACCTATTAAAAAACAAGGTTCTGACAATAACAACAACAACAAAGTATCCATCAACAACATGTGCACCTCCACCTGAAAAAAGAAAGTAAAAGTAAAATATTATTAAATATGGCGTCGTCATTGAGATTAATAATAATAATAATAATAATAATAATAATAATAATAATAATAATAATAATAAATAATAATAATAATAATAAATAAATACATTTTCAACTTCCTCACCGTATTATTATTATTATTATTATTATTATTATTATTATTATTATTAATTAACATTTTTATGAGGATACAAAAAAAATTAATGGATAATTATTTAAGTGCATTAAAATTGCAATTACAATTAAAATTAATACCTTAATTGACACCTTATACATAAAAAAAAAGACCTTAAAAAAAAACGAATGCCGACAACCAATCATATAAATTAAAATGCAATAAAAAAAACATGTTGTTTGTTGTTTGTTGTTGTTATAGTACTCTTAACAATAATTACAAATTTAATCCAGGCAATAACAACAATAACAACAACAAAATAATGTTTTCTTTGCCTAACCCAATTAATAATTAAAAAGTAATAAATAAATAAATAAATAAATGAAGTTATAAAAGGTTAATTAGTTGAGACGAGTTTCCCAGAATGAAAACTCTTTTTCTATCTCTCTCTCCCTCTCCCTCTCTCTCTCTCTTTTTCCCGCCAATAAAAAAAAACTTTTAAATTTTAAAAATTAAAAAAAAAAACAAAGACATTTTTAATTCGTCACAAAACGAGTTTTTTTTTTGCGCTCGCGAACGCAAACGGAAAAGAACGATTAAGAAAATTAAATTAAATGGAAAAGTATATAAATAAGGTACGAGCGAATAATAATAATAATATATCGATAAAGTAAATCGGGATACGTTCACGAAAAGAGTGAGAGAGAGAGAGAGAGACGGTCGGTGGTATATATATAAACGTAATTAAGGTTTTTCTTTTGTGCAAACGTCGTCGTACCTGAAAGTGTTTTTTTTCTTCTCCATCGAAAATGTTGAAAACCATTTTTTTAGTTTTTTATTGTCTCGGTTTTGTTTTTGCTGCATCGCCTAGAAAATTACGTAAGTTTTAATTGTTTATTTTTTTATTTTTTTTTTTTCCTTTTTAGGGGAAAAATTGTGAAAATTAAAAAAAGAAAATGTCGTTTTCGCTTTTGCTTTGTTTTTACAGCTCCCGAATTACCAAGATGTAAAAGATCCGATCCGAAAATCAACGAGTGTTTGATGAACGCCATACAAACGAGCATACCAATTTTACAACCAGGTACGAATTGATTCGTTCGAAACCATCGATTCTCCTACGGGAATAATAAATTTGATTTCTTTCCAGGACTTCCGAAATTTGGAATATTTACATTGGATCCATTGAAAATCGTTTCATTGGAAATCGGCGAGGGTTCGAATAACAGGCCCGTTTCCATCAATTTGAAATTTAAAGATTTCTCATTGGCTGGAATAAGAAGTGCCGTCATAACGAACGTCGTGTAAGTTTTTTCACGATTTCCCTCCTCCCCCCCCCCGATTTTCACGCTGAAAAATAAATTTTCATTTTTTTTTTTTAAAATGTCTGCCGATAAACAAACAACAGGAGCGATTTAAATAATTACCATCTCGAAATCCGCGGATATTTAAAAGATCCGGTCAAAATCGAATCCGATTACGAAATGAAAGGTAACATATTATTTCTCCCACTTGTCGGCAATGGAAAATGTCATTTGACATTGGGTGAGTTTTTTTTTTTTCTTTTTTTTCTTATTCGCATTGAAACGATTGACTTTTCTTTTCTCGAATGCGAACGAATCCTTTTTTCTTTTAATTACAGACGACGTCAAGGCTGCTCTCATATTGAAAGGTTCGCCCCTCACCAAAGATGGTAAAGTTTACATGGATCTCAAATCATTGGAACTCAAACTCGAAACGAGTCGACTTCATATGAATTTTGAAAATCTTTTGAGCGAAAACAAAGAAGTCGGTGAGTGTTGATTGAATGACTGAATTTTCAAATTCGATTCGATTTATCGATTCATCGATTATTAACGTTAAACAGGTGACAACTTGAATCAATTCTTGAACGAAAATTGGAAGGAAATTTTCGCGGAAATAAATCCGGCCATAACTCAAGCTCTTGGTACGGCTTTCAAAGAAATCGCAACGAGATTGTTCAACAAAATACCCTACGATGATGTTTTCCTACCTTGAATTAAAAAAATAATGATAATAATAATAATAATGATAATTTGTAATATTTAATTAAAATAAATAATTAATAAAATTTAGTTTGTTGTCGTTTCTCTCTCTCTCTCTCTCTCTCTCTCCTTCACCCCTGAGAAAGTAATAAAGAAAGAAAAAAATTATACAATCGATCGATCGATCTATCGATTATCGTTTAGTATCGATCGATCGATTTTTTTAAACTTACTTGTTTAATCGTTCGATTTGAAATTTCGAGATCGATTCAAAACGAGTTTAAAAAAATTTTTTTAATATAAAATTCTTGCAAACACAAACATTGGATTCTTATTCGTCGAGTCCCTCTAATCGAAAACACCGAAGAAAGATTTCCACAAACATTTGGGAAAATTTCGAAAACAAAAATCCTGGAATCGACGGATATACACAAATTCTCGGAAATGAAAATAATAATAATGTTTTTAACGTAAATAGTATGATTTACCATCGTTTCATTTCCTCTCTTTCACGTTCTCACACGAGACAAAAAGGGGGATTCGATTGGGGAAAAAAGTCTACACGTTCCTAAAAGCAAAAATGAAAACTGTTAACTTGATAAATCGACATTTACATCAAATTAAACAAATTTTAATTACGTACATTTTATCCAGCCAATCTTTAACTTTTTTATCGGAAAAACTTTCAGAATCGGATAAACCATCGTCGGGATCATCCCAATTCAATCCCCAAACGTTTAAAATTTTATCCGCTAAATAATCCTTGTGACGTATCAAACATTTCTCATCGAACATTTCACATTTCGGCCACGACGCATCCCTCTTTATTTTTTTTTTATTTTTTATTTTTCCAATTACGACGTTATCCGACGTTAAATCTGAAAATAGAAAATTTTTTCCTTTTTCATTTTCCAAAAAATAATAATAATAATAATAAAACAATCAATAAATATTTACCGTTTAACAAATAATTTAAATCGATTGTTTTTAATTTACGCACGTTCGATTGACCGTTCCAAAGTTTTTCCATTTCGATTTCGAAATTTTTCATTTTTTTCAAAAAAAATTTTCCCGGATTTATCATTTTTTCATTTTCCGTTTCCGTTTTTGATATTTTCGACGAAAAAACGTCACCGCCACCATTGGAAACGAGTAAATAAATTTCATCATCTTTGACGTTCTAAAAAAAAAAAAAAAAAAAAATCCTTTTTTTTATTTAATGGTCATTATTATTATTATTATTATTTCTTTGGGATCTCGTACCTTAAAACATTTTCCACCCGTCACCCAAAAATTAAATCTCGTATCGAATAACGGATTCAGGCATAAACCATTTAATTTGGCCATTTTCAATGATTTTTCAGGTCCCGTCAAAGCCCGGGGTAAAGACTCGGAAAATAGTTCCAAATTTTTCCCATTCATTTTATTCGTTATCCCTATGATTTCGTTCACGTTCAACGATTGTAAAATAATTAAATCGTTATTATCGTACCTGAAAAAAAAAAACAAAAGAAAGAAAAACTTAATAAAATGATTCAATAATGATAAAATTATTATCTTTTTTAAAATGGCGACCATTACGTTCGAACCGTATTAATAAATTGAGGTGGATATTTAGTCATGTGAGTCCACATTTGAACGGATTTTCCTTTTCTCAAATCAATTTGTATTAAATTATGATTTGTTGACAAATAATAATAATAATTAGTATTCGATTTACTGTCGGTCATCGACACGATATTCTCGCAATCGTTAACGACATTCAATGGTGAATATTCAATAATTAATTTATTCGTAGGCTCCTGAAATTAATAAAATCAATAAAATTTTGTCTTCTGCTTTTTTTTTTTTATAAAACGAAACGGAATGAAATTTAATAAAAAATTTACTCTTATGTCCGCCGTGTAAAAATAATTACGATTTGAAAAGTAAATCAAATTTTCCAAAAGGTTAACTTGATTCCATTTATCCATTACGGGAGTTTTGCTTACGAATGACTTTTTAGTCGCCTTCCATTTTTTTTTATCCGTTTCAATATCGTAAATATTAACGCAACATTTAGAATCGGATAATATTATCGAACGAGAATCGTTTGAAATGTAACAACATGTAAATACATTCGATTCCGATGATGGTTTTTTTTTACTCCAAACTTTCGTTATTTCATTTAACTTTGAATCAACTTTGAATAAATTCAATAAATTTTTTTGCCTTACCAATATATAAAGAAATTCATTTTTAAATCGACTCGATATTTGTAATATTGATAAATTTTTTTTCAATGTGTGACACAATTGATAATTCATGTCGAAGGAATCAGGTTGTAGCTTGTTGACAACTGAAAAGAGGAAAAAATTTAGAATTTTTTCTAATTTAACCCCCCGAATGGAATGAATGATTATATTAAAATCGTACAAAATGTGTTTTGCGATTCGAGATATCCGGCATTTATTAAATAAATTTCACCGGAATTTGATTGAGTCACATCTAAATTTCCACCTGTGTAAAGCCAATTATAATTTCCATTGAATTCAGGTTCTGGATCTTTTTTAAAATGTTTTATGTAATTGATTAAATCTATTGAAAGTTTCGTTTCATCTCCGTTTAATAAATTTCGAATGCTTACAAGTTCTGCAAAAACGATTTCAAATATTTATTCGATTCATTCATCAAATTGAATAAATTATAAAAATTACCTTCTTTTATGTTTTGCATTTCTAAACTTTCCAATTTTTTTTCCCATTTTAATTTTTTCCTGACAAAATTTAATGATTTGTTTTTCGTTCCCCCACCGCAACATAATGGATGCCATAATTGAGTTTGATATTCGAATGATTTAAAATAAGGAACTTGACCCATGTGTTCAATATCATCATCGACGTCTAAATCGTTTTCGTTTATTTCAAAAAGAGGATGTGAGTGCGCGTCTTTAACAACGAGATTATGCTTCGGAAAACAATTATGAGGAATAATACAACTTTCGTTTATTTGATTCATTAATTGACGATAAAAATAAGAATCCATTTTCTTGTAAAAATTTTCATTCTCGTTACCGGCTTACCCTGAAATTTAAAAAAGAAATTAAAAAGAATTCATAATTTAAAAAAAAAATAAATTTAGAATCACTCTTACAATTGATTTCATAAAAAATTTTAACGTTTCGATTGTAATATTATAAAAAAAATTTAATTATTAAATTTTATAAAAGTGAAAATTCGTGAACAAGATTTTGGTCACCATCACGTGCATTTCATTACGACTTGAAAAAAAATTTTTTTAAATAATTTATTTTATTTAAATTCGACATTATGATATAAATTATTATTGTCAAGTATAAAAACTAATTAAAATCGCGAATCAAATCTTTTTTAAATAAAAATTAACGATAAAAATTAATTTAAAAAAAAAACCATTTGAAATGATGTCTTCTCTTCACGACTCCAACGTTTTAAACGTGGCATTAGAATGAGAAACCATTTTACTTAAAGAGTAAAAAAAAAAAAAAAAAAAAAAATATTCCCTGGCGCTGAAATTTAATTTTTTTTTCACAAGTTTAAAAACAAAACAAAACAAAAAAAAAACTTTTGTTAATATTTTGCGTTATTTAAATTATAAAAAAAAAAAATAAAAATAAAAATTACTTTTAAATAAATAAATAATTAAAAAAAAAAATAAAATCGTTACCGGAAATTACGATTCGGTGTTATTATATTTATTATTCAATGGATTCCAAATTCCGTCTGCTTCCAAGTCGTACTTAATGTACAATCTTTATGGATTTTTTATTTCAAAATTTGACGTCTAAAATTAACATAGGCTTTTGAAAAACCATATAGTCGCCGACAATGGGAACTGTACACGCAAAAGTATTATTATTATTATTATTATTTTCATTTAATTATTTATTTATTTATTATTATTATTTTTTTTTTAATAACGGCCATCGTTATTTTTTTTTATTTATTCCTTGTTTCTTTTCTTCACACACACGGTATATTTATTATTATTATTATTATATTATTTTCAATCTTTGAATAAACATTTTCATTTTTACAGGATTCAGGTGGTTCTAAACAACCTAGAGTAAGTTTTATTTATCTTTAGTTATATTTTAATTAAAATAAATAATATTTATGTATATTATTATTAATGATGATATTATTTTACCTATTAAAAATTATCCCCCTCCGGTTCCAGTTTATCAAAACCGTTAAATTTTTCCAACGCCGGAAAAAGTAAATTAGTTTTTAGTCGTTTAAATTATTATTATTATTATTTTTATTTATATAATGAATAAATTTAATTATAATAATTCATTATAATAATTATAGGTTGAAACTACGACCGATTCATGTAGCGGTCATGAAGCTGGAAAAAAAGTTGATTTATCTGGAGTCGGAGTAAGTGTCCTTTTTTTCATAATTGAAACCTCTTTCATAACATGAAAAAAAAAAAAAATTTATTATTATTATTATTATTATTGTTATGAAGGCTAGAGTTGATAAAATAAACATAGAAGGTTTACAAAGGACTAAAGATGATGTTGTCGTTGAAACAGTTCAAGATCTATTTAAAGCCAAAGATTTTCAAGAAGTCATTATAAATGCGCACAAAGTTCGTGGAAAATTAGAAAAATTGGGATGTTTTCAAAACATTGGGATTTTTATTGATACAAGCACAGGTGCAGAAGCTACATTGGATGGATTGGAGGTGATGATGAATACATTTTTTTTTGTCATGTACGAATCCAATCATGTTGACACGGATAAAATAAAGTTTTTATGATGTTTAGGTTACATTTTTTGTAAAAGAATTAAAACGAATGATTGGGGGTGCTAATACAATGGTCGGAAACAATGAGGGATCGCTTGTGGTTAGTTTAAGAGCACCAAACATGTTTGGAAGAGGGGAAAAATTACAAGCAGAATATTCATATGGATCAAGGCGTACAAACAATTTGAGTTTATCATTTGTAAAACCTTTAAGAACGAAATATGACGCCATGTTGGTTGTTTTTTTTTTCGCATAATTAATTATTAATTAAAAATTATGATTTTTTAAATAAAATTCCGGTTTCAGGTTTACATCATCAATATTTCAACACGGATCCGATTGGCCTTGGTCTGGATATAGAGTTATAGAAAGAGGAGTATTATTCGATTTAGGTTTTTCCTCAATATGTCCTGTAGGTTTTGATTAAACACTGACCATACAGGTATGACTCTCTTAGCATTGCAATTTTAAAAAAGTCATAAAAATATTACAGTTAAGACATAATATACAGTATGAGGGTGCTTGGAGAGAAATGGGAACTAGTTCTAGAAGTTCTGCATTCGATGTAAGGCAAGAATCTGGTCATAAAATTAAATCTGCCCTTCGACATATTTTAACATTTGATAAAAGAGATGCCCAAATTTTTCCTTCGTCAGGTACACTTTTTAGGTACGTACATATAAGATAAAATAAGAAAAATGTTTAAGTCAAACCTTGAATTTTGGATATACGGTTGCATCATAATGGTGCCTATGATGTCATCAGATATATATAACAATAATTCATTATTTACAGGTTTACAACTGAATTAGCCGGTCTTGGTGGCGACATTAAATTCCTTAAAAATGATTTTTTTGCTCAGTACAATTTTCCGTTAATTGCCGACATGGTAAGATTTAAATAAATATTGTATTTATCCTGTAAAATAATTTGTAATTAACCTTCCATTCATCAAAGGAAAAATGGAAAAAGTGAAAACATTTTTCGTACCTAGAAGATATTCTGTTCATAATTAGTTTTTGTTAATTTAATTTTTTGTGAAATTAAACCAAAGGTCATTGACCTAAATTTATTTTAAAGTTCAAGGTCATTAAAAAACTATTACGTAATGCTTGTTTCCCGCCCCATCCACCCCCGCCTAATTAGGTTCTTTTGCTTACTTTTCATTAATTTGTTTCTTATTTTTAAAGGTACTTCAAGCAACGTTACAAGCCGGGTATTTACAACCGTTGGGAGACGGCGAAGCTGTTGGCCTCCCTGATAAATTCTACGTGGGGGGCCCTATGAGCGTACGTGGATTTGAAACAAGAGGAGTCGGTCCTCGTTCGGATGGCAACGCAACAGGATCGAATGTAATTTTCTTACACATAATTTTCTCATCGATTGGATAAAAAAATAATAATAATAATAATAATTTTTCTTGTTTTTTCGATAGGTTGCGTTAGCTGGTGGCCTTCATTTATATACTCCGTTGCCTTTCAGACCTGGAAAAGGAGGTTTTGGCGATCTTTTTAGAGTTCATTTTTTTTTAAATATGGGACAATGCAAGGAATATGAATTTGGTAATTTTTTTTTTGTGTGTTGGTAACCTTGATTAAAAAAAAAAAAAAACAGGAAGTGATGTAATGATTTGTCTCGTAGGTAATGGTGTTACGGAAGATGTAAAAAACATACTCGACGGATATAGATTGTCATACGGATGCGGTTTAGCTTTAAGATTGGGTCAATTAGCCAGAGTAGAATTTAATTACGTAATACCACTTAAAGCACAAGATGCCGATGTTACCGCTGAAGGTTTTCAGTTTGGAGTCGGTCTTCAATTTCTATAGCCCCATTTCTTCTTTTTTATTGTTTTTTTTTTTTTTTTTTTGTTAATATCTTCTTGTGTTAGAGAGGCTATACTTAATATGTGAATTCATTATTGAGATTCGCTTTTTTTCATTTAGAGAGAAAGAAACGAAAAACGAAAAACGAAAAAAAAAAAGTAATATTATTTTTTTTTAAATAGTAACATTAATTAACTAAAAATGTTTTACCCAAGAGTTCCCTGCATTATAAACAAACAAACAAACAAACACACAAAACAAACAAACAAACAAAACAAAAAAATTATCATTGCATTTAATAATACGAGAAAAAAAGAAATATTAAAAAATTGATTAATTTTTTTTTTTTTTTTTTTTTGATTATTATTATTTTGTCTACCATTAAAGAAAAAAAAAAAAAAATTTTTTTCGTTAATTAAATAATAATAATAATAATAATAATAATAAATGTACCTTAAATTTTAAAAAATTTATTTTTATACAAGAGGAAATGACGTGAAAAATGACTTCCGGTTATGTGAAATATGACTGACTTCCGGTTACGTTAAAAACAATTTTTTCTTCTTCGCCTTAAAAAGAAAAATGATATTTCCTCATCTTCTATCTTTATTTATTTCATTCATTTATTAATTTTTCTTCTTCTTCTTCTTTTTCATTATCATTGTCAGAGTAAATCATTATGAATTTTAAAACCTGTAGAGAACAAAAAAAATGCTTTGTTATTATTAATATTAATAATAAACATTATTATTATTATTATTATTATTGTAATTTTCACGATGATGATGATGATGATGATGATGTAAAAAAATAGAGTCAAAGGTGACGCGATAGTAGTAGTAATAATAATAATAATAAAACATTAAAAAGACTTGAAATTGTGTGTAAACTACAACCATCACACAATTTTTATATAGATATATATTAGTAGTATTTATTTATTTATTAATTAATTAACCCAAAATTTGTAAATTCAAAAAGAGATTAACAGAGTTCTAGTAAAAATTTAATATACATATATTTATGTAAGTATATGTAAATAAGTTATTTTAATTTCAAATGAATCCTTTAATCCTTTCATGTTTACTAAAAAAGATGGCAAAAAAATTTGGGATACCATTAAAGAATTTCAATTTATGAACAATATCTATTACGAATAATTAAATGCAAACATTGTAAATCTTAATTATTATTATGGTCACTCTTAAACACGACAAGGCTCTTATTTGTCGGGGTTTTTAAGCATTTATCCCAGGTTTATACCTGGGGATTCCTTAGGGATAAATGCTCCAATATCGGTGATGCTGCTGTTTTCGAAGAATGTGGGCCGTCCCACATAGTGCGATTTCCTGGATGGTTTCCCCTTTCAGGTTCTTCATAATCTTCTTTAAATTTCCTTTTATTGAATGTGGTGGCATGGCTCCCAGTGCTGCTCCCACGATGACCGGAATCGTTTCTGTTTTCGTTCCCCACATCCTGGCTATTTCAATTTCCAAATTTCTATATTTCAGCTTTTTGTCTGCTTATTTGGCTGTCTGGTGTTTTTTTCTGCCGGTACGGATACTTCAATCAGCTTACACCATTTTTTGGAATTATGTCGCAGAATGATATCCGGTTTGTTAGCTGGCACAGTTCTGTAAGTGTGGATTTGTTGATCATATATAACTGTGCATGGGCCTACTGTCGTAACCGGGTTTGGAATGTGGTTGTACCACTTCTTGGGTATTCCATCCATTCCATATTCTCGGCATATATCCAATGGAGATATTGACAAATTTTATTGTGCTTCTCCAGATATTCATGTTTTGCAAATATCGGACAACCGGAAATTAAATGGTCGATGGTTTCCGATTGGGATTGGCGAACTTTGAGAATTACTTTCTCATAGTTATGGGTCCGCAATGTCTGATATTGTTCGGCTGTAATAAACGCTTCCATTTCAATTTTAAGTTTTCCACGTCGTAGCCAATTGTGCGTGCTCTTCTTATTAATATCTTCGGCATTTATTCTTTTTAGGTATTGCCCATGCAACTTTTTCTGTTCCCATTTGCCTTTTAATTTCTTCTGAGATTGGGCTTTGCTATCATAAGTTGCAAGTTGCCCTTCTTCCATTATCTCGTTTTCTTTATTTTCTTGGACGATTTGTTTTGCCCTTTTGAGAACTCCTTTTTTTGTAGTTTTTTCTTCTGCATGTATAACTTGGGCTAAGATAGGGTCCTCTTGATGGGATTCTATGTATTTTCTCATTCCAATTATGGCATTCTGGTATGCCGCTTCCATTTGTCGTAATCCTCTTCCTCCATCTTTCCAGCTGACGTACAATCTATCCACATCAGCTTTTGGATGTAACGCACCATTCATAGTTAATATTTTCCTTGTTCCTCGGTCCAGGCGTGTGATTTCTTCTTTTGTCCTGTCTACGAGGCCAAAACTATATTCTATTACAGGAACTGCTAATGTGCCGACGGCTTTCCTCTTATTTCTTCCATTCAGTTCCGACTGTAATATAAGCCTCAATCTTTTAAAATATTCTTTCTTCAGTCGCGGCTTGATTTCCTTGTTGGCTACCCCAAAATTTTCTTCAATCCCCAGATATTTGTATGTTGATCCAGGGGGTCCAATTCTTTAATAAGTTCTTATTCAGCGCCTTCTATATTTTCCTTTTGTTTTAACTTTCCTCTGACAATATTAACTCTGGCACATTTCTCTAACCCAAATTTCATGTTGATGTCAGAGGAAAAAGTTTGTATCGTCCCTAACATTTTCTTCAATTCTTCTTCGCTCTTCGCATATATCTTCAGGTCATCCATGAACAACATATGGGTGATTTTCCTGTCTCCCGGTACCAATTCGTATCCTTGATCTTTGATATTAAGTTGCCTGGACAGAGGAATTAAAGACATGCAAAATAAAAGTGGCGACAATGAATCTCCCTGAAAAATTCCTCTTTTTATAAATATTTTTCTAGAAGAGTATTTTTGCACTTCCAGCTGGGTGCACCAATTTTTCATACTCTTCTCCTCGCAGGACGCTGTAATTTTAGGGTCTACTTTATATATTTTCAATGCCTCAATAATCCATTCGTGAGGCACACTATCAAAGGCCTTTTGATAGTCAATCCATGCCATGCATAAATTCTTCCTCTTTTGTTTTCCACTGTCCATTTAATCAATTTATTTATTAATAAAACTTCTTTGCAGCCATAAGACCCTTTTCTGCATCCATATTGTTCAGGAGGAAAAATGTTATTTTTTCTCAAATGCCCATAAATCTTTCGGTTCCATAGCTTCTGATTTTTTTGGGCAGCAAATACGTTTTTCCCGTGGTTATCCATTCTGGCATTTCTTGCCGTTCCATTATTAATTTATTTATGGATACCAGTAAGAACTTATGGGGGTACTTGTAAAATTCTTAATCCAAAAGTTTTGTACCCTATCTAATCCGGGACTTTTCTAATTGGCCGTGTTTTTTAGGCATATTTCCAAATCTGCCATTCTTATATCCGACATTGTTGAAGAAGCAATCCAGGCATGTCCTTCTTTTTCTTTATTCATCCATGTAGAACTCTTATTTAATGGATAAGATTTTTCCCATATATTCGACCAAAAGTCTGCCATTTTTCCTATATCCAAGGTGGTGGATCCATTTTGCTTATTATTATTATTATTGTGATAACGTTTATCAATCGCACGTTATTGCGATAATAGAGTTATAATAATAAAATTTAAAGAATGATTATATCTTAGAAAAATATATAAACAGGTGCACATCAAATTACTACTTAATAACCGTAATTAAATAATAATAATAATAATAAAGTTTTCACGACAGCAATTAAAAAAATAAAAAAATTGTTTTTCCAATTATGATAATTTTTTCGTATAAAAGGAAAATGTTTCGAATTGTTCGACATCAATTACAGCAGTAGCTCAAGCAACAGCAACAGCAAAGTGAAAAATCAAATTAATTTTTTAAAAAAAATGTTTTCCTGGGTGTTTTTCGTGATTGCTTTCATTGCAACTTTTGCTATTGTATCTCAAGCTCAACCGCAACGACTGCAACCATTTAGATATGACGATCCGCGAGTTCTTCAAGCCGTTCAAGATGCTTTTCAAAATTACTTCAAGAACCTACCGCTACCATGATTAACAACCAAAGGTAAGAGAATTAAATTACTAAAATAAAAACGTTAATTTGTTAAATTTTTAAACAAATTTCTTTTGTTTTTCTTTCAAATTATTTTAGTTTTCAATAACAAAATCTCATACTTAACCGAAGAAGAATAATGCGCATTTAAATGGCAAATGGAAAAAAATTTATAAATATTATTATTATTATTTTTCTTTCTGAATAAATAAGTTTCATCATTTATTTTTTTTGCATTTTGATTATTTTTTAAAAACCTTTCAAACTCTTGAATAAATGGGATTGAATCATCGTAAACGACTTGAGATTTGCATATAAATTAATTTTTTTATGCATATCCTTGTTAAAAGAGATAAAATATAAATACCTGATAATTATCCAGAGTTTTCCAAATGATAAAAATTTATTCCAGCGACACGGTTCTTTTTTTTCTTGCTGCATTGAGAGCGTTTAAAAGTTCTTCTTTGTACTTGTCAGCATTTTCAGATTTATTTATTCTCTTTTGACAGTCTCCATTTTCATCCTGATAACAATCTTGAGGTTTTTCAATGTCGAAAATGGCATTTATTAGTGCGATACATGCTGGTTGTAACGTCGTACGGTCAACCTGAAGAGAATATATACTTTTTAATTCTTATATTATGTAGAAGAATAACAAAATTGTTGGAAATACAAACTTTGAATTTGAAAGTTTCAGGACAAGGACCCTGAGTACCCAATTCATAACAAGAACCGTTAATCCAAGGAGCTAAAACTCCATATCTGGATAACGTTCCTTGTTTTTTCAATTCATTCGTTTGATCAAAACATTTATCTTCAATGCATTTTGCTTTATCGATTTCTTCCGGTAAAAAACCTATTAAAAAATAATACTAATATAAAAATAAAAATCTAATAAATCTTCATCCGAATCTTAAATCGTACTCCAAACAAAATAAATACCAATAACTTGTCTTTCTTGACAAGGCCCTTTTGTATACAATTGATAACATTTGCTATTTTCATCGTTGTTTAAACGTGCTCTTATGGGTTCTCTGGAACACATGCATTCACCCTCACCAAAAAAATTATTTAATAATTCTTGATCTGATGATTTTCCACATAATCTCTTTTTATCTTTGGCTTGTACGCATGTTTTAGTTTTACTCCAATAATAACCTCCTTCAGGACATAGTTCCTAAAATTGAAATTCAAAATTTTAATTTAAGGTTCAAATAATAATGCAACCTCTTTTTTTTTTTTTAAGCTAAAACTTTATCATTTTGTTTATTTTCTGGTCACATTTCCAAAGTTTATTCATTAGCTTTCATTTTTCTCTCTTTTTTTTTTTTTTTTTAATTCATCAGTAGCATGCTTGTACTTTTAATCTTGACATTTTAAACTTTATGAAATGTAATTCTATTCAGTTATCCTTTAAATTCTAATATTTCCATTTGAAATTCATAAATAATTAATTTACCTTAGCACAAATACCAGATATTTTTACATCTTGATTATTTATACCAGATTTAGGCTTTTCCAAAACAAACCAATAACCAGATTCGCAAGGTCCTCGTGTTAATAACTTATAACATTTGTCTTTTTCAACATTATAAACTTTATTTTGACTAAAACATTCAATTTCATTTAGTGTACCTTCCAACGATTTTGATTCACATATCAACACCGAAAAACAATTTAAATAAACTAATAATGTAAATATGACTAATATTATTAAATTTGAAGGATTTGTCATGTTGATTGTACATATAAAAAAAATTTTGTTTTCTTTTCATTCACTAAAACAAATCAAGTTATAAATTTAACAAAAAACAAGTGCAGTAATGACTTTTACAAATGTCAGTTGAGAGGTTTATGTAAACTTCTGTAAAAAAAAATTTAATTTTGAAGATTTTTCAAGTGTAAGATATTGCAGTGAAGGTAAATAAACTAAAATAAAAGATTAAATTGAAAGAATTATAAAGAAAAGCAATAAGTAAATGTAAAACGCCAAATGTTAAAACAAATACAACCTGTAACCTCTGGTAGCAAACGTTAGACAGTTTATTAAAGATTAATTCGAGAAAAATTTGTTTTCCCAATCCGTAAAATGTTGTTTTTTCTTTTTATAACACAAACGTAAAATAAAACAAATGTAGTTAACAAATAAAACTAATCAAATAAATAAATAATTTTAACAAAAAGTTTCAAATTCCTATTAAAAAAATTCGTTAGCACTGTTACGCTTGCCAATAAATCAAAGTGGCGGGTTTTAGTTGGATGCTTCCACGCTAAAAAATTTCCGTTATTCGAATTCCACGTTCCGGAATCCTTTTTAAAATTTCAAGTTTTTTAAAAGAACCGTTTGAATTAAAAAAAATTAAAAAAAATAATCTACCGTTTCGATAAAATCGCGTTAGAAATAATTAAAAATAAATAATTTAATTTTTTATATCACGATCTCATGCATTAATTTTGATATTGCGAATAAGGAAAAAACAATTTTAATATGAAATTAAAAAAATAAACCGTCATAATGTAAATTATAATGATTTGAAACCAGTTAAAAAATTACTAATTTTTTCATAATTTCAATAAATATTTGTGGATTAACGTGATTATCAGTATAAAAACAACTTTTAGAAAGTGTAACAAAATTAAAACTACTTTTTTTTTTTATAAATATTTTCTCTTTAAATAACTGAGTAAAAATCAAATTAAATTTTCTATGCCTAATAAATACAATTTAAATAAAATTGTGTGAAGTTGATTTGGAAAATAAAATGTTTAAACTGCAATGTTTATCATTATCATTATGATTGTTTTAAATTAACCATCTATAAAAATATACATAAATAATACTAAATATTTAATCACTATTAAATAAAATAACACACAGAGTTTTTTTTATAAATAGAAATTTTAACTTTTCTAATGCAAAAATGTCACTTTTTTGTTTGCAAACTTAAAAGTACACTTTTAATTTCACAAAACTAAAAAATAATGGGATAAACTTTTCATTATTTAATTCAACTTATGGAAATAGTTATTTAATATTAAAACTTTTGTTTGAATTATTGTTTTAAAAAATTATTTTCATCATGTTTATCTGATTGAACTTAGGCCAATAGAACCAAGCAACAAATGATAGATATTTTTAACTTTATGATAAAATTACATAATAAACATTAAAATGGAGAAATTAACAAAAGTGTTAATCTTGATATCAAGAGAATTTAATGATGATAAAATAAACTGTTAATAATTTTAACTGTTTCATTTCTTAAAAAAAAATTGTTATTGAAAAAATGGGAATTGAATTTTAAGAAAACTTCAAACACTCAACATACAAAATAAACTCCATTTTGAATAAAAATTTTTAATTTGTTTTTTTTTATCAAGCATGAATCTTAATAACTTTTAAAGATATATTTATATTATATAATATTAACAATGACATTGCAATAAATAAAATGATGATGTTATTATATGTATAGTGTTGGGAGGGAGAAGGGATCACCATTAAAGTTTTTCATTTGAATGACATTTCTTTAAAAAAATTTAACCTTCAGCTAAAGATAAATCTCCTGTTTCATGTCAGCAAAAACTAAAAGGGAAAAACGATAAAGTTTATCAAACATTTTTTTTTTTTGTTAACCATGTACATTTTTTTTTTGCAACTAAATCATTCAAACATATTATTATTTACATGACAAAAAAAATAAAATAAATAGCAAAACAAAACCTGAAAATTTTAATTTTACACAAATATATATACCTAAGACTACCTATATCTCTTTAAATATATTTTATAATAATAAAAATAATTTCACATTCATATGGTTTTTTCATAAATATAATTTCAATTACACACACAACACGTTTGACAACTCACAATTAACTGAATGAATGTTTTTTATATATTAAATTTACTAGTCGTCCTTTTCTATTTAATAAATAAAAAATAATATGTCCAAATATAAGAAATTATTAATTCGTTAATTACATATAAAAGAATTCATGAAATGAAACGACTCCGCCATATTGGTTTTTTTTAATTACATTATATTCTTTTTGGGACTTACCTCATCACGTTTGTTTTATTAATAAATTCCTTTTTTTTTTTGCTTTTTCCTTGACCGTGACACGACAAAACATATTAATATTAAATTTTTTAAATTAATTAATTATAAAATTCACTTAGATTTGATAATAAAAAAAATTTAATTACATGGTCGTTATGTGTTATTCACATGTCAAATGCACACAAATGAAAATAAGCTAAAATTGTGAGATAGCGCGGGAAATTCCGGCGTTGTCGTTTTGTTTTTTCCTGTCTGGGCAAATCAACGCGGAAATTCCAACATGGAATCCCCTTTTTTAAAATTTAACTATATAAGAATGAAAATTTTATTTGAAATCATCAGTTTTTTAATATTAATAAAAACTGCGTTTAAATACGTGCGTTTCGAATAAATAATTTAAAAAAAAATAAAAATGAACGGTTTGAATTTGATTATTATTATGATCGTGGGTTGTTGTTGCTTCGTCGTGGCATCAGGTTTACCGTCGACGTTGAACCAATTCCCGGGTCAAAAATTTCAAATAAAAGTTTCTGTTGAAAATGGCGGCGACGATGTTAATTATTTATTTGACGACGTGAAAGAAGAAATTCGTAAGTAAACCTTTTCGTTTTTTTTTTTTTAATCTCACCTTTAAATTTATCAACCAACGTAATTTTAGAAAAAAAAAAAATGTCGATTTGTTGTTTCATTTACGAAACTCAAAAAAAAAAATGACGGTTAAATTTATTTATTTTTCAAATTTTCCTTATTGGAAAATGAAATTATAATTTAAATTTCCTTCACTATTTTTTTTTTTTTCAAATATAAAAAAAAAAAAAAAACTTATTTAAATTAACCGTGACAAATATTGTTTAACTTTTTTTTTTTGAAAAAAATTTCCTCAAACGATTTTATTTTTTAAACTCGACTATTGACACGATAAAAATTTAATAATAAAAAACATAACTTTTCCTTATTATTTTCACTTAATGCCCTTTTTTTTATTATTTGTTTTAAGATATTATATCTAATTTTAATAATAATAATAATAAAAGAAAATTTTCTTTTAAATAAATAACTTTTCCCTCTTTTCCTATTTTCCAATTTTTTCTAAATAATGAAAATTAATTTTTTTTAAAAAGCAAATTTTCCTTATTATGTTTTAAAAACAAACTTATTAAATATGTTTTTATTTATAAATATGAACAAAATGTTTTTTTTTTTAAATAGAAAAACAAATAAAATTTAACATACAAACCCACACATGTGACTATTATAACAAACAAACGCGCATTTTTTTTTTAATTTTATTATATTTTCCAGAACATTCCATAATTAATTTATTTTTACAGAAACGAATGGAGGAAGATTCAGGAGAGCAACTTGTGATCTATTGAGTTTCGATACAAAATGGGGATCCCTTAATCATTCTGCATGTGCTGCTCATTGTATTGCATTAAGAAAAGGTTACAAAGGTGGACGTTGCTACAAACAAGTTTGCCGCTGTCGAAAATGAATTAAAAAAAAAAAAACAATTTAATTTAATTATTAGTCGTTTGTTTCTGTCTTATTTACCTTGTCTTGTTTTCTAAATAAAATTATTTATTTATTAAATTAATAAATTTTAATTTCGTCTTATTTGTTTTGTACAACTCGCCGTCCTTGATTTGACGTAATTTTTTGTCGCCATATTTAAACGCCATGTTTTTTTTTTTTTTTTTTTTTTTTTTTTTATGCATCGAACAAGAAAACAACCTGAAAATTTAATAAATTAAAAAATTAATAATTAAATCTATTCATTTGACTTTAACCTTTAACCTTTCGTCATATTTTACCACAATATATATATGTTATTATTATTATTATTGTTTTCTAATTCCACGGATTTACGAGTATCCAATCATTCGAGAAAAAATTATGTTTAGGGAGAACAAAAATAAATTTTTTATAATGAATATTAGTTAGCTTAATTTTATTTTGATATTATTATCATTATTTTTAAAAAACCAAAAAGTTTTTTTTTTCGAATCGGGAAAAGAGTATTAATAATGATAATAAACGGAGTGGAAAACTTAAAATTGAAACGGAAGCGTTTATTACAATTCCTGCTCGAAACCAGGCATTTAAGGACCCATAACTATGAGAGGGTATAATTCTCAAAGTCCGCCAAGATGACAAGTGCCGAATTGACCAATCCCAATCGGAAACCATCGATCATTTAATTTCCGGTTGTCCGATATTTGCAAAACATGAATATCTGGAGAGGCACAATAAAATATGTCAATATCTCCATTGGAGTATCTATCGTGAGTGTGGAAGAGGAAGGGATTACCCAAAGAGTGGTACAACACAAACCCGGTTACGACAGTAGATCCATGCACAGTTCTATATGATCAACAAATCCACACTGATAGAACTGTGCCAGCCAACAAACCGGATATCATCCTGAGAAGCATAATGCGGAAAAATGGTGAAACAGCCAAAGAAGCAGACAGAAGGCTGAAATAGCCAGGATGTGGGGAACAAAAACAGAAACGATTCCGGTCATCGTGGGAGCAGCACTGGGAGCCATGACGCCACATTCAATCAAAGGAAATTTAAAGAAGATTTTGAAGAACCTAAAGGAGGGAAAACCATCCAGGAAATCGCACTATGTGAGACGGCCCACATTCTTTGAAAACAGCAGCATCACCGATATTGGAGCATTTATCCCTAAGGAATCCCCGGGTATAAACCTGGGATAAATGCTTAAAAACCCCGACAAATAAGAATCTTGTCGTATTTAAGAGTGACCATAATAATAATAATGCTTTGCTTAATGAAAATTACAGGAAACTCAATTTTTTAATATAAATTTTTTTGTTGTTGCAAGATTTATGTTAAAATGGGTATTTTGTTTATAATTATTATTATGATAATGATGATGATATTCGGATTTGAGATTTTCGAGGTAGAAAAGAGAGGAAAGGCAGATACGAAAAGGTAAGAAAAAAGTAAACATATTATTATTATTATTATTATTAACGTAAAGGTGAAAAAGATAAAAGAAGTCGACTGTTGACACGAACTATCATTTCGAATATGAGTTTACCTTTTAAAAATGATAAAGAAAAAAAAAATAAAAATTAAAAAAAAACTTTTTATTTATTTTTTATTTATTGATTTCGATATTCACGGATGGTTTAATTCTTAAAATAATAAAATAAATTGAAAGACGATTAAAAACCAAATTATTTTGAAGATAATGGAAGAAAAATACGTGACAATCGCGGAATGAATTCTGTATAAAAGCTCAGAATTAAAATTTCGTAGTCATTCACGAGTTGTTTTGTGTACTTGTGAGCTACTACAAAAAAAAAAACCTTAAAAAATGTTTTTTAAATTTTCAGTTTTTGTACTTTTCGCCGCTGGATTCGTCCAATCTGGTGTCTGGCATGGCATGTGGGGAGGTGAATCCCAATCTCAATCCCATCATCAATCCCAAGGTCATCAAGGTCATCACATGTGGGGAGGTTACAGAGGAGTAGGAGGCCAAGCTCAATCTCAAGCTCAAGCTCAAGGACAAAAATGGGGAGGCATGGGCATGGGACAAGCTCAAGCTCAAGCTCAAGGACAAAAATGGGGAGGCATGGGCATGGGACAAGCTCAAGCTCAAGCTCAAGGACAAAGCATGGGAGGTATGGGTGTAGCTCAAACCCAAGGCGTTGTCGTCCGCGGTGTCAGAACTAGAACTGTCCCCGTCGTCACCAAAGTTGAATCCGGTTACACCGCTGGATTCAACAAAGGTTTCGCCAACGGATTCACCGCCGGAGTCGCTCGCTCTGAATCTAGCCAAAAAGTCGTCAGTGGATTCCCCACCGCTGTCTACATGGGATACCCCACCGTAGCTCACGTTTCCCCCGTCGTTCAAGAACCCGTAGTTGAACAAGTTTACGAAGTTGTCGACGGTCCCGTCGTATCTGGAGTTGGTGCCATGGCTGGAGCCGCCGCCGGAGGAGTCGGAGCTGGAGCTGGTGCCGCTGCCGCCGCTGGTGCCGGAGGAGTCGGAGCTGGAGCTGGTGCCGCCGCCGCCGCTGGTGCCGGAGGAGTCGGAGGTGGAGCTGCTGCCGCTGCCGCCGCCGGAGGTGTTGAAGCTGAAGCCGAAACTGAAGAAGCCGTTGTTGCCGAATCTGGTGCCGCTGCTGGAGTCGTCGGAACTGGTTTCCAAGCCGTTCCCGCCACCATGGCTTACCTACCCGTCATGACCGTTCCCCACGTTGCTACCGTCGCTGGAGGTCAACAACAACAACAACAACAAGGAGGAGCCGGAGTCGGAGGACAACAACAACAACAACAACAACAACAAGGAGGAGCCGGAGTCGGAGGACAACAACAACAACAACAACAACAACAACAAGGAGGAGCCGGAGTCGGAGGCCAACAACAACAACAACAACAAAAACAATCCAAAAAAGTCGTTAAAACCGTAACCACTAAAGTCGTTACTACCAAAAAACAAAAACAACAACAACAACAACAAGCTGGAGCCGTAGTCGGAGGTCAACAACAACAACAACAACAACAACACCACCTTGCTGGATACCGTACTGCTGCCCCCGTTTACACCGGATACGCCGGAAGATACGTTGGAGCCGTTGCCGGAGCTGCTGCTGGTGCCCGTGGCCTAGTTTACTAAACGACTAATTAGGATAAAACTCTCAAATGATCAAAAAAAAAAAAAATTTATTTCAAAATTCATTCACATTTGTAACTGTCATCCTTTCGAATACACTATAAATAACCACTCTTTTTTTTTTTGGAAATGTATCATCTTTCAGCACAAATCTAAAATAAAAATTTTGCATTCTTAAATTTAAAATTTTTTTTTTAAATGCTTTATTTCCGTTTAAAAAAAGTTTAATCCAGATTAAACTATTTCCTTTTTTTTCCAGGTAAAAGCTCAAAAGGACTTAACCATCAAACAAAAACAACCTTTACAAAATTATAGTGTTTCGTAAATCAAAATAATAATAATATTAATCATAGCAACCATGAGGTTTTTATGATTGGTGTACTTTATAGAAATCACCACTTTTACTCTGACTGACAGATGAAACTCAAAGACTCCCTCTGTGGTTTTAAAGTCCACTATTTATATGGGGATAAATACAATCGATGCAACTGTTGCATTGGAGCGACTCCTCATACAATCGTTCTCTCATTAAGGGATGAATGGAGTATTTGTTCCTTCTCCCTAACTTAGCTTAGAAAGCGCCATCAGAACGTTTGCACATATATGAATAAACAAATAGATGCCCACATTCTCACAAGTGATGGATTTGGTTGGGAACACAACAAGTCCTACATGACTACGAGTCAACAGGAATTGATATGTCACGAGTAGAAGCACAAAGTAGATTTTGGTGTGATCATCGAAATAACGTCAATATAAAAATCATAACAATGTTGTGCTGCTTACTATCATAAATCTTTTAAAGTTGCAGCCATTGAAGGAAAAAGCCATTTCATTCAGATAAACAAAGAGTCAGACTCTTTAAAGATTTGAATTAAACTTAATTTTTACTTATCTTTTGTAAATGAGTCAATTGGCCACAAAATTGAGGTGTTCATTTTGAAGTATTGGTTTTTGTAGTAATAATGTAGCAATTTTTAAATGAATACTATCTAAAATCAATAAGAAAATGTTGATAATACATAGATTTCCTGTTGGACAATGTTTAATAAATAAAAATACATTAAAAATGCATGAAAAAAAGTTGCATTTATATGCACTGAAAAATTTTTGTTAAGTACAAGCAGAATAATTAAATAAAAATTTTTGTCAAACTATCTAACTTACTTTATATTCATTTCAAAAATTTGGTTCAATATTGTGTGTGTTCAAATAGTAACCATTAAAAGGAAGGTGCCAGGTTATTAACCACATCCAACTATACATAATAATGATGTAAAACACTAAGTTTGCCCTAAAAGAAAAAAACAGTAAAAGAAGCCGAGAAAGTTTAAAAAAAAAAAAAACTTAATATAGAAATTAACAGGATACTAAATATGAATCCAATTTCAGGGTAGACACTCACCACTACAATCCACAGAAATACAACAGGAAAAACTAAATTAACAGTGCACACCTGAAATAATAATATGCCAATAAAATAATAATAATAATAGACACAGTAATTTTTTCATTTTAATTTAAATCATTAAAGATAATTTATAAAAAAAAACTAATTAAAATAATTAAACGTTTCTAAATCCAATTAAATCTAAAACCAAACAACAAATAAGGATAAATGAAAAAAAAAAAAAAAATGAAAGCTAAGTAATAATAATAATAATAATAATAACACTAACAAATCACCCTTAATATGAAATATATTAATGCAAAAAAAAAAACAAAACAATGATGAAATCTTACAAGAGTTCGCGTTATCTCGCGAAACGGCCATCATTCTTCGTATAATTTTTTTTTTAAACAGCATCAGCGAAATTCGAGCATTCGAACATTTTTATTCCCTAATTTACATTTAATTACATTTAATTTATTTAAATTCCCTAAGGAATACGGTTTAAACCTGGAATAAATGTTTAAAAACTCCGACAAGTACATACAAGCATTTCGTATTCGAAAATAATAATAATAATAACAACGATTTCATTGTTTGTTTCAAAAGAATTTAATTTAGCGCGAAGATTTTGAAACAAATTAATTTGTTTTTTTCCCTCCGTAAAGATAACTGTTATAAACATGGCGGTTAAAATTAATAATGTCTTTCTGTAATTTTTTTATTGTTTATTTTTTATATTTATTAAAGTAATTTATGGGTTTCTCATCACATAGTAAGTTATATTACATAGAATTTTTAATTAGTAGAAAAAAAAATTAATAAAAAAGAACTTTAATGTAAATTTAATGTAAATATCTATTCATCCATTGCAGTATATTTATTTATTGATGGTTAAAAATTATTTTCTTATTGTCATAAAATTATTTAAAAACAAAAAAAATCATTCAAATATCATTCTCACATAAGTTGAGCTTTATTTGTAATTTCAAGGAACAAATATAAAAGAATTTTAGCACATAAAAACTACAGAAGTAAATAAATACAACTGGTAAGTTGATATTTTTTTTCATGTTATATAAATAAATATTGTAAAGAAAAAAAAAATATTTTTGTTAAAAGTTTACTTATTTAAAAAAAAAAAATTATTATTATAGCATGTCATTACAGAAAATTAATAAAAAAATTTTTTGTCATTAATTTTGTTTTGTTATTAATACTTATCTGGATGACATTTTATAAGTTGTTAAAACAGTAAATTAACTTTAAACTAAAGATATTGTATACTGAGATTGTATTATCAAAATTGAATTTTCTAACAAAAACTTTTCCTACAAATTTAAAAAAAAAAAAAAAAAAAAACTACTCTGATGAAAAAAAATATTAAAAAATTTTTTCTGACAAATGGGATATGTGGAGAACATTTGCCCAAAAAACGGTTACAGAGATTTAAAAAAAAAAGAAAGAGAAATAAAATCAAACGAAAATTAACGGAAAAAAATTTTATTGCCTAAATAATTTACATGAAAAAAATAATAATAATAATTTACATTAAATTTTTTAAAAAATTCAACCGAAATATATTGTATTAAAACCGACTAGTGGAGAGTTTGATGTATTTTTATGAGTATGAATCTAGTAGACGACGGAACCAGATTTGGAAACGGCAGAGGCGGCAGCACTAGCGGCAGCACCACCGAATCCTCCGGTGTAACCTCCGTGGTAGACGGGGGCAGCGGCAACGGGAGCAGCAGCGACGGGAACTACTCCTCCGACAACACCTCCGGCTCCTCCTTGTTGTTGTTGTTGTTGTTGGCCTCCGGCTCCTCCTTCTTGTTGTTGTTGTTGTTGTTGACCTCCGACTCCGGCTCCGGCTTGTTGTTGTTGTTGTTGTTGACCTCCGGCTCCGGCTTGTTGTTTTTGTTTTTGTTTTTGTTTGGTGGTGGTAACGACTTTGGTGGTTACGGTTTTAACGACTTTTTTGGATTGTTTTTGTTGTTGTTGTTGTTGGCCTCCAACTCCGGCTTTTCCTTGTTGTTGTTGTTGTTGGCCTCCGGCTCCTCCTTCTTGTTGTTGTTGTTGTTGTTGTTGTTGTTGTCCTCCGACTCCGGCTCCTCCTTGTTGTTGTTGTTGTTGTTGTTGTTGGC